AAAAAGTGGAAGAGCCTGGATTTGAAATCAGGCAAGCGGATTTCCAGTAGGTTGCCATGTGCCCATTATTATTATTGTAGAAGTAGATGTTTGATGCCATAGTTTATAAAAGAAATACTTTAACAGCAAAAAGAATCCCTGTTTTTTAAAATATATTAATACAGTATAACTGCTATGTGTTACCTTTTTTTTTTTTTTAAGATTTTATTTCTTTATTTGATAGAGCACACAAGCAGTGAGAGCAGCAGGCTGAAGGAGAAGCAGACTCTCCACCGAGCAGGGAACCTGATGCGGGGCTCGATCCCAGGACCCTGGGATCATGACCTAAGGCGAAGGCAGATGCTTAACGACCGAGCCACCCAAGTGCCCCTGTTTTTTGTTTTAAGATTGTTTATTTATTTATTTGACAGAGAGAGCATAAGCAAGGGGAGCGGCAGGCAGAGGGAGAGGGAGAAGCAGGCCTCCCACCGAATGGGGAGCCCGACGCAGGGCTTGATCCCAGGACCCTGGGATCATGACCTGAGCTGAAGGCAGATGCCTAACTAACTGAGCCACCCAGGTGCCCCTGTGTTACCGTTTTTGATGAGAAGAGAAAAGGCGTATAAAGCTAAGGTTAGGTAAAGACTTTGGCAACTAAATGCATTGGCTAACATTTATTTTTAAAATGAATTAATGCCGGGGCGCCTGGGTGGCTCAGTCATTAAGCATCTGCCTTCAGCTCAGGTCATGATCTTCCTGTCTTCCTGCACAGATAATTGATAAGAATGTCCCTGTTAGCTGAGCAGGGAGCCTGATGCGGGGCTCAGTCCCAGGACCCTGGGATCATGCCCCAAGCCGAAGGCAGACCCTTAACCTACTGAGCCACCTAGGCGCCCCTAAACTATTATATCTTAACTAGGTTCTAAGTTTTGTAAATTTTTCACTGTGTTAAAGGCATTGCCCAACTCTCCCAGAATCTTATTCTTTTTTCTTTTTCTAATATTTTATTTATTTATCTGAGAGAGAGAGAGAGATCATGAGCAGGGGGGAAGGGTAGAGGGAGAAGCAGACTCCCCGCCAACCAGGGAACCCAATGCAGACCTTGATCCCAGCACCCTGGGATCGTGACCTGAGCCGAAGGCAGACGCTTAACCGACTGAGCCACCCAGGCGCCCCCAGAATCTTATTCTTTTAGGGAATCTTCCCAGATTGCCTCGGTTAAAGGAGAAATCTTGGTTTCCTCTTAATAGTATTATCATTTGTTTATGTCTTATTTAGGCCAGCACAGATCTCTACACTTGCAATCTCACTTAACCTCTTAGTCCTTTAGAGGAGGCATTGTTGACCCCATATACAGGAAACTTAAAGGAAACTTACAGTCCACTACCTTGAGAAAACAGGGTAATAGTTTCAAATCATGTTAAATTTATTTTGCAAAATGTTAGTATGTATTATACATTAAAATTGTTGGGGGAAAAGGCCCCCAAAAGTTGTGAAGTTTTTATTTTTTAAGGTGTTTTTTTGTTCTGTTTTGTTTTGTTTTAAGTAATCTCTATGCCCAGTGTGGGGCTTGAAATCACAACCCTGAGATCAAGAGTTGCAGTGCTTTACTGACTGAACCGTACAGGCACCCCTCAATATTTGGAGAAGAGGAGCTCAGAGCTAGACTAGACTTTGAGTTCATTTATTTTTTATTTATTTATTTATTTATTAAAAAGATTTTATTTATTTATTTGACAGAGAGAGAGAGACAGCAAGAGAGGGAACACAAGCAGGCGGAGTGGGAGAGGGAGAAGCAGGCTTCCCGCCGAGCAGGAGCCTGATGCGGGGCTTGATCCCAGGACCCTGAGATCATGACCTGAGCCAAAGGCAGATGCTTAACAACCGAGCCTCCCAGGCGCCCCACTTTGAGTTCATTTATTGAGCCTATTATATATCAGACCCTAGGCAAAATATAGTCAAGTGGTAATTATAATAGTCAATTATCATGTTACATAATAACTGATTGAATAACTTTTATTAATCTGTATGGGGTATAATTCCATACAACAGCTACTTGTTATATATCTTATATTACAGTTTGCAATTATTTATTACATAATGCTTAATATCCTTTTTAGAGGATGTAAGCTCCTTGAAAATAGAACTCAGCTTTGCTCATCAATATATACTCAGCATTTAGCACAGCATTGGATACATATTTCTTGAATGAACGAAGTAGACTCCAGTGGGAGCCCCTAAGAAGATTATCTAATCTAGACTTTGAGATTAGGGGCAACTTCCAGGGGAGAGAAAGAACAAGAAGAATGTTTCAGGCAGAGGGAACAGGATATGCAAAGGTTGGAGATTAGAAAGATCTTGCCTTATTTGAGAAACTAGAAGTTCTGTGTAGCACACAGTTGGAGTTGAGAAATGGCCAGTTAGGAAGCTGGGGAAGTATGGAGAGGTGAAGTCTTGAAGGACTCTGTAAAGCTGTCTTGTGGAGTTTGGATTTTTATCTTGGTAATACTGAGGTATTATTGAGGGTTTTAAGGAGGAAAGAGACTTGATCAAGTTTGGTTTTTGTTTTTAATATTTTATTTACTTATTTATTTGACAGAGAGAGAGAGAGCACAAGCAGGGGCGGGGTGGAGAGGGAGAAGCAGGCTCCCTGCTGAGCAGGGAGCCCAATGTGGGACTCGATCCCAGGACCCTGGGATCATGACCTGAGCTGAAGGCAGGTGCTTAACCATCTGAGGCACCCAGGTGCCCGATCAAGTTTGGTTTTTAGAAAGATCACTGTGGATGCCGTGTGGAGAATGGATAAGCAGGCAAGACCAGGACAGGGAGATAAGTCAGGAGGTTTTTGGAATAATTCTAGTTAGATAGATATGATGGTGACCTGAACTAGGGCAGTGGCAGTGAGGATGGGGAGAAATGGATGGGTTCAAGAAGTATTGAGCAAGTAAAATCAGGTGGACTCAGGGATTGGTCATGAGCACCAGAGGAAAGAAAGACAAAGGATGTTGCCCAGATTTCAGTTTGGTTGTGTATGTTTGCAGAAAAGAGTTAACACAGGAGACATGACAACATCATCTTTAGAAAGTCCTGTTTACAAGGTTGGCACTTCACTAGCATATGGGAACTTGATTGGTAAACAGTTCCCCACACTGATACAAAGCTTTCCATAAATGATACGTGGCTCAGTGTGCCTAAACTGTACAAACAGTAGGTTTCTATTGAACCTTACCTTTCTGGGAGTGTAGAGTTTTGGTTTATGCTAGAGGGTTTCTATGTGACCAACCCCCAATAAAAAACCTGGGGCACTGAGTCTCTAATGAACTTCCTTGGGAGACTGTATTTCATATATGCTCTTCCAACTCTTTGCTGGAGGAATTAAATGTGTCCAGTGTCACTCCACTGGAAAAAGGACTCTTGGAAGCTTGCTTTTCATTTCCTCTGGACTTTGCCCCCATGTGCCTTTTCCTTTGGCTGATTTTGCTGTGTTATCTTTTTGTTGTATTACATCTTAGCCATGAGTACAACTATATGCTGAGTCCAGTGAGTCTTGGCAAATCACTGAACCTGGTGGTGGTCTTGGGGACCCTGATAAAAAAGTATTTTCACCAGGAGAAGAGAATACAAGAGTGAGAGCAGGTTTTACTGGGGCAGTGGGGATTGAAAGATACAGGTTCTAGTTTGTTATATTGCATTTGTGTGGCTGGTGGGATATCTGTGTTTTCTGACACTCAGGAGCAAATTCTGGGTTGGGGATACAGATTTGAGCATTATCAGCATTTGGATAGCACTTGATACCAACATAAATGAATTAGATTGCCAAGGGAGGGAGAGTGTGAAATCTGGGAGCATGGGCATTTAAAAGGTTGGGCAAGGGGCGTCTGGGTGGCTCAGTTGGTTGAGTGTCTGACTTTTGGTTTCGGCTCACGTCCTCAGCTCGTGATCTCAAGTGTCGTGAGAGCAAGCTCCATGCTCAGCAGGGAGTCTGCTTAAAGATTCTCACCCCCTCCTTCCCTCCATCCCTCTCTTTCTCTCTCTCTAATAAATAAATAAAAAAAATAAAAGGTTGGGCAAAGGAAGAAGAGGCCCAGGAGTTAAACAAGGAGCCAGAGACATGGGAAGACAACAAGAGAGGGATCCCATTAGCATTTATTGATGTCTTGCTTGGGTCAATCCCTTCTCCCACCCCTGCAAATATCCCCACAAAAGTCAAGGGAAGAGTTTGTTTGAAGAAGAACAAATTAGTTGACAGTGTAAAAAGGGCGGCATGAAGGCCAAATAAGATAAGGACTGATAAACTGTGTTTAGTAACAAGGAGGTTGCTGGTGAGCTTAACAAGAGCAGTTTCATTGGAATGGTTGGGGCATAAGATTCATTGCAAGGGATGGGAAGGAATCATTCTGCCTGTTAGATGATAGGACCATGTTTGATGGAGTAAGTTTGAAGTACAGTTCTATTTCAGTGTAATAAATGAGTAAAAGGTAGGAAATTATGACTTGCAAGGCAAGAATTTACAGTTTGAAGAGACCAGAGAGCATCTGCTCAATTTACCAATCACCTCAATTTATATACGCAGAAACTGAGGTCCCAAATAAATGCCTTGACCAAAGTCCTGTGGACAGGCAAGGTCAGCTGATGCTGTTTAGATCAGAAATACAATCTTTTTTTTTTTTTTTAAGATTTTATATATTTATTTGACAGAGAGAGCACAAGCGGGGGCGGGGGGGGGGGCGGCAGGCAGAGGGAGAAGCAGGCTCTCTGCTGAGCAAGGAGCCCCATGCGGCACTTGATCCCAGGACCCTGGGACCATGACCTTAGTCGAAGGCAGACGCTTAACCAACTGAGCCACCCAGGCATCCCCAGAAATACAATCTTGATTTCAAAGACACTTACTTGTCATTTCCGGTATGGTGGGATATGCAGTCAAGGAGGTATTTGTTCAAGGTTGGAGATGAACAGCTTTTATAATGATTCCAGGTTTGAGATATGTCAAATGAAATGTCATTTTCACTTTCTACTACCAGTGCCAGACTGGCCTCTCTTTTTGGACTGGATCAGACATCTGCTGGCCATGGAAATGAATTCTTCCAGTACACAGCCCCAAAGCAGCCTAAGAAAGGCCCAGGAGCAGCTGCAACAGGTAAGTGAAGAGGTTAGGATTGGTCCCTAACAGGTTAGTTGGAAGGATAAACAGCCTTCCAAAAGTGACATGCCAGGTTGTCCATCCTCAGTCAGTCTGGCCAAGTTCACTACCAGTGGTACATTCCTCTCTAAGCTCTGATATCCTGAATTCCAGCACCTAGATAGTATGCCCTTTGTTGGAAGCTGGGGGAGGAAGGTCTCAGGCAAACTCTTTTGCCCCACGTGAACCGCATTCTCTAAAACTGCCTGAGGCACTGTCCAATGTTTTGGCAAGAAGGAAGAGCTGCTTTTCAGTTCTTTTACCTGGATAGGTTAGATGTATGCTGACAGTGACTTTTTCCCAACTGGACAGTGGTGCTCAGTGCTCTCTCCCCTGTACCTTTCATCATGATGGAGACACACTGAATGAACATTTGTTGAATGAAAGGAGAGAAAGGGGCAACTAATATTTCTAAAATGCCTGCTTTCAGTCTGGTCTCAGGTACTTACATAAATTGCCTTATTTAGTTGTCTCAACAGTGCTGTGAAATAGGGAAGACTACCACCAGTTCAGAGGCTCAGAGAGGTTTAGGGACTTGATCAAGGTCATACAGCAGTAAGTGACATAGTTGAAATTTGAACCCTGACTTGACTCACTCCAAAGCTCTTTCCTCTACACTTTGCTGTCTTTCTGTAAGAACCTGAAGAGGAGTGGGGGACTGATAGAAATAGTCCTGAGCAGAACAGGTGGTAAGGGGCATTAAATTGTTTGTTGAATGAAGATGAAAGTATCGAGTGCCTTTTACATGTTGGGCACAATCCTGGCACTGAGGGTTTGTTAGATTATTGAGAGTTGAAGAGTTGCAACAGATATCATATGGCCCATAAAACTAAAATATTTACTGCTTGGCCCTGTACAGAAAATGTTTGTTGTCCCCTGCTCTAAATCTTACCTGTCACTTTGGGCAGCTTTGCTATAGATTGCTGGTCCTGTTCTCCAAGCCATGACCAGGCCAGATTTCTAGTAGGCTCTGCCTTTACATTTCCTCTGGCACAGCTCTTCATCAGCAGTGTGTTTCTGACTCAGTTTAAAGCGGTTGAGTTAATGGATGTGGATAAAAATAAACAGCCTCAGTCCCCAGCCAATGAGGTAACTTGATTTTGTTTTAATTAGAAAACAACAACTATGAGTTAATTATACTTTTAAAGGGGAGTTATAGAGGCGTTTCAACTTAAAAATTACCTATACAGTCTTATGTAGGCATTTACAAAGAAAAAATAAAGTCGCAAGATAGGAGATCCTCTCTGTTCAAGGGATATTTGTGTAAGAAGTCTTTGCGGGGAAAGTGACTGCAGCATAGTTCTTGAATCCCTTCAGATTTCAATATAAAAATAGAGCAGATAGAAAAGACAAACCTATGGGTAATATTTACAACAAATCCAGTTGAAAAGGTATCTTCATGAATATCTCAAAATACAGGCAGGTCTGGACAAACCACTAACAGCTCCAAGGCTTATGTGGTATCAGCATTTGCATGGGAGAAAACAGGGTAGCAATGGGTTATCTAAATCTGAGCATGGAAGAACCCCAAAACAGCCACCAGATGTTCATGGAAAATATGGCAGGTGAAGCCGAAACTGGAAAGTGTTTTGCCCACTCTGGTTGTGGGTAGGTACAAGCGGTTGATAATGGGGACTGAAAGAACTGGAGCAGTCTTGCTCCTATGAACTTTTTTTTTTTTAAGTAGGCTCTATGCCAACGTGGGGCTTGAACTCATGACCCTGAAATCAGGAGTCACATGCTCTACCAATTGAGCCAGCCAAGCATTCCACTCCTATGAACTTTTGAAACTCATCCCCTAGGGTGATCTTGTAGGACAGGTCCCCACACTCAGAAGAACCAGCTGGGAATGGAATTAAAACTGAGGAGGATGGGGATATAATAGAAGTGAAGGAGAAAAGATATAGATAAAAGTAGGGCTAGAAATAGAATCAGGAAGTCTCAGGAGGAAACCACCATATTTTTGAGCTCTATTCGAAAGCAACAGAAGAGGGAGCTCTATGAAGTTAAGAAAGCCACCTTGAACCCTACCGCTTTCTAGAAGTTCGGAAAAGCAAATTTCGCATTAAAAAGAGCAGTAGGAATTTACCAGAATCCAACTCCATGTCAAGTAATGAGAATACTATCCTTACAGACAGTGAGAGCTCTATTCTGTGAGAATGTTTCTTACTGAATAGATCAAAAACTACAACCACCTGTTAACATTAGGAAAATAATATAAGACATGAAATGAGAACCTAAATGAGATTAGAAAATCTCAGAAGTAAGTGACAAGACTCAGGAAAGAATTAGAGACATAAGAAAAATTTCAGAAATGAGGGCTAGGGACACCCAGGTGGCTCAGTCGTTAAGCGTCTGCCTTCGACTCAGGTCATGATCCCAGAGTCCTGGGATTGAGCCCTGCATCAGGCTCCCTGCTCCGCGGGAAGCCTGCTTCTCCCTCTCCCACTCCCCCTGCTTATGTTCCTTCTCTCGCTTTGTCTGTCTCTGTCAAATAAATAAATAAAATCTTTAAAAAGAAAAGAAATGAGGGCTAAATGAGAAGGAACACAAGAATGAATAAAAACAGCAGATTATACCGGGCGCCTGGGTGGCTCAGTTGGTTAAGTGACTGCCTTCGGCTCAGGTCATGATCCTGGAGTCCCGGGATCGAGTCCCGCATCGGGCTCCCTGCTCGGCAGGAGTCTGCTTCTCCCTCTGACCCTCCTCCCTCTCATGCTCTCTGTCTCAAATAAATAAATAAAATCTTAAAAAAAAAAACAACAACAAAACAACAACAACAACAACAACAAAAACAGCAGATTATACCTGAAGAGAAATAGAAGGTTAACAAGAGGAAATTGTTAAAAAATAAAAAATTTAAGAGATAAAAATGTTCCAAAAGAAAGTGTGACAAATATTAAGGATGGCAAAGAAGATTCAACACATGGAGAGAGAGTGTGTGTGTGTGCGCACGTGCACGCGTGTGTGCACAGAAGAAAAAAAAGGAAGGGGAAAAGAACAGACACTAACAACTGTAATTCAAGAAAACTTTACTCAGGGGCACCTAGGTGGCTCAGTCATTGTCTGCCTTCAGCTTAGGTCATGATCCCAGGGTCCTGGGATCGAGCCCCGCATCGGGCTCCCTGCTCGGCGGGAAGCCTGCTTCTCCCTCTCCCACTCCCCCTGTCTAGTCTGGTCTTCGTGTTTTCCTTATTATTTTATAAAAACCTCTCTCTCCCTCTGTCAAATAAATAAATAAAATCTTAAAAAAAAAACTTTACTAAAAAAAAAAGATTTGTAAGTACATATTAAAAGAAGTCCTTGTCGGTGGGGCATTCAGAATCTGCAATACTGATTTTGGAGAAGAAGGGCTGCTGAGCCAATGAGAAGATCCCATCTGACTTACCCTTCTAGCAAATCCATGAGCAACCTTCCATTTCTAGGGTATTAGATAGCGAGATGAGAGCGTACTGGGAGAAGCAGAACTAACCTGAAGGAGGATGCTAGGCTGACCTTGGGGAGACAGTGTTTTTTCTCAGTGTTTCACACCTGTCCTGATAACCTGCCTCTGGCCTTAGTTACTTTTTTTTCTTAACAGCTGGCTTATCAGGAGAAAAATTTTATTGTCGTATGACGTTCAACTGGACAGTACTGGTTGAATTGACAACTATGTTGTAGGTTTTTATAAAATAATAAGGAAAACATGAAGACCAGACTAGGACAGCAAGCAAACAGCGTAGGTGGGTATTCATCAAAACAAAACAAAACAAAAGGACCAGTACAAATCTATAGAAAATGTTAAATCTCTGCTTCACTGTAATCAATAAATGCAAATGAAAACAACAGTAACATGGCATTTCCCTTTTCCCTACTGTCCCTCTTTGGCTGGTAAAGATTTTTTTAAAAGATCGGCTCCTGTTGTAGGCAAGAATGCAAAGCGGGCATATTCACACTGCTAGTGGGGCTGTAAACTGGTGCGACATTTCTCAAGGGCATTTGGGCAGGACATAACAAAACCTTAAAATGTTTTACACTCCTTCACCCCATAATTCCAGTTTTAAGAATTTATTTTAAGAAAGTAATTAGAGATACATACTAAGATGTATGTTTTCAGGATGTTCACCACAGCATTATTTATAATGGAGGAGAATTGGAAACAGTTCAAAGAAATGTCAAATAATAGGACATTGGATAAATTCTGGCCAAGTCATAATACAGTATTTTATGTAACCACCAAAAAGCATCTTTAGGGTTATTTTATCTTTGTCTTGGAGACTGTTTTAAAAGAAAAACTAGGGCACCGGGACGCCTGGGTGGCTCAGTCGGTTAAGCGTCTGCCTTCAGCTCAGATCATGATCCCGGGGTCCTGGGATCGAGTCCCGCATCGGGCTCCCTGCTCCGCGGGGAGCCTGCCTCTCCCTCTGCCTCTGCCTCTCTCTCTCTCTATCTCTCATGAATAAATAAATAAAATCTTTAAAAAAAAAAAAAAGAAAGAAAAACTAGGGCACCTGGGTGGCTCAGTTGGTTAAGCGACTGCCTTCGGCTCGGGTCATGATCCTGGAGTCCCAGGATCGAGTCCCACATCAGGCTTCCTGCTCAGCAGGGAGTCTGCTTCTCCCTCTGACCCTCCTCCCTCTCATGCTCTCTGTCTCTCATTCTCTCTCTCGCAAATAAATTAAAAAAATAAAAAAAGAAAAGAAAAACTAGTACTAAATGAGAAAAGGAGGTTGTCAAATTATATCATAAATTTCATTTAAAAACTAAAAGAAAAAAAGCTGTGAAGTTTATGTGTATTGAAAAAGGACCAGGAATAAATGCATCAAATTATTAACATTTATTTTTAATTGGTGAGACTACAGGTCATTTTTATTTTCTTTATCTGTTTCTGCATTTGCTAAGTTTTACATATTATAGAGTACATGTACTCTATAATCAGACAAAAAGATGTGTCAGTATTGTTAAAAAACAAAATTCAACTGCGTAAATTTTAAAGATCTTTTTGGCTTTAAATGACTCATGAATTGGGCAGCATCCCATCCAACAGATAGAAAGGAGCTCTGAGGAGTTGCACAAAATGACTTTTATAGGCAGAAGGGAGCAAGAACAAGGAAGTTACAGTAGGCAAAAAAGCAGGATGATTATTGCAAGATTGCTTTCCTCAGGGGATGGCAGGGATCTGTCATGTAGATGACCTAACTAATGCTGAGCAGGGAATTCCTGATTGACTGGTTTCAGATTCCATTTCAGGGAGAGCCGAAACTGTTAAGTAAGTCTCAGTTTAGTGACATCTGTCGGTAAGTCTCAATTTGGTGACTGGGACTTAGCATAAGTGACTCCATCTTAAGCCTGTCATCTTGTTTTTAAAATACAAAAGGAAAGAAAGAAATCAAACAGGGATACTTCTTTTTTTTTTTTTTAAAGATTTTATTCATTTATTTGAGAGAGAGAGAGCACACAGAGGGGGGAGGGTCAGAGGGAGAAGCGGACTCCCCGCCGAGCAGGGAGCCCAATGCGGGACTTGATCCCGGGACTCCAGGATCATGACCTGAGCCGAAGGCAGTCGCTTAACCAACTGAGCCACAGGCAGTCGCTTAACCAACTGAGCCACCCAGGCGCCCCAAACAGGGATACTTCTGAAAGTAAGTTCTTGGTTTCCATGTCTGTGCCAATGTTCTCACTATTCTTCCATCAACACATAAATGTGGTGAGTATAAATATGCAGTTTTCTCTAAATACACTGTTTTAAAACATTAGTGTTACCCTGAATCACTGGAAAAGTGAAGTAGTGAATATGATCTGAATATCATCATTAATTTTCTAGCCTGAAATAAGGGAAGGAGAAGTAATTTTATTTATATTAGAGCTGGCAAAATACTGGAAAAAGAAAAGAAAGTAGATGGAATATGACCTCGCTTTTTGGGCAGGGCCTCTTGTCCAGCTCCGAGACTTGTTTGGAGTGGAACCAGAGTTGGATTCTATCCTGGGCTCGCTGCTATCATCGTGTCATCGCACTTGGGTGCTTAGAGCTCCCGTGTCCTCATTCCCAGATGAGGTCATAGGGCTGTTCTGTGGGTCAGATAAAGATAATGGCCGTGAAAACATTGTACCACCTAACTGTAAGATGTAAAGGAGAATTTTGAAGCTGCCTCAGTGGTTAAAAATCGGTTTTAAGAAAGACATGAATGACATCTTTGTTTTCTTCTTCATCTTTAGGAAATCAGGTGCCAGCAAAAGCAGCCCCCACTACAACAGGCACCTCCACCGTGTTGGTTGCAACAGCAGTTCATGCGTATCGATAGTAAGTAGCTGAGAAGGAATGCTTTCTGAAGTTGGGTGTGGGATACTGGCGTAAGCTCCTGTCTTTTCTCAATAAGCCTCTGTTGGTGGCCAAAGGAGCTACACAGTTAGGCTGCACAGTCCTTCCATAGGCAGAGGATCAGTAATGCTTTTTAACATTTCGGTTAGAGAATTCTGCACATACAACTTTGGAGAGCCATTGCTTTGTATACTCTCTCTAGGAAGTGCTTGTACCCTCAACAACTGCCTTCTTAAGTGCTCACTCCACTGAGATACCATGAATAGATATTCGGAGAGTAAAGAAGTTGTATAAGAGCTTTAAGTTATAAACTGTTTTCTTGAGGCGAAATGACTAGATTCCTCACTTCTCTGTGGCAGAAGACAAAGCTGTTCTACTTAGTTTACGGAAGTATTAATACCTATTATTTTTCTTGCTTCTGTAGCACAAATGGTCAATATATAAAGCAGGGCAAGTTTGGTGCTGCAGTGCTGGGGAATCACACAGCCAGAGAGGTGAGAATGCCCCCATGTCTCGTGTACACTCAGGTGTCCCGTATCATACTGATGAGTTAGTTTTTACCTCGACTTGCCCAATGTCTCATGTGTCAGAGGATTAGAATGATGGTTCGTTTTGAATGTGAATTTTTAATATGAGGTACATAGTAACATTCATAGTCACATCTTGCTTACTATTGTGCATTAAAACAAATCCAACCATGCAAAATCTTTTAAGTTTGACCTTTGTGATATGGTACCAAAGACTTTGGAGAGTTTTAGAGTAAACCATTTACCAAGGACATCCCTTTGTTAGGTAATGAAAAACACTTAGTGTTCTACTTAGAGCATTCTGTCTTTATGCCTGAATCAATGACCGGTGTTTATCCTTTGAAAGTTTGACAGTGAGGTGGGCAGTGGATCGCACAGCATAGTATTGGTTTGGGTCAAAAAGAAATGTGGCTAGAAGCCCCAAGACTTGATTTCCTTATGTGGGTTGTATCTAGGTTCAAATTCTGCTCCACAGGAGCGCCTGGGTGGCTCAGTTGTTAAGCGGCTGCCTTGGGCTCTGGTCATGATCCCAGGCTCCTGGGATCGAGCCCCTCATCGGGCTCCTGGCTCAGCGGGAAGCCTGCTTCTCCCTCTCCCACTCCCCCTGCTTGTGTTCGCTATCTCACTGTGTTTCTCTCTGTCAAATAAATAAATAAAATCTTAAAAAAAAAAATTCTGCTCCAGAATGTTTTAAACATTGTTGAGAGAAGCATAAGAAATTCTGGCATTTCAAAGGTCCAGTGAACTAAGGGCCACGCTCCTAAGACACTCTGAGACACAGATAAGATGACCTGTTCAGGGTAACTAATGTAATAGACAACACTCATTTGTATTAAAAACAAACAAACAAAAAACTTAACTGTGGAAATTTGGAAACACATATAAAAATTGTGGGACTCGAATAATGAACCCCCAGAAACCCATTCCTAGGCTCTAAGAGTTATTAATCTTATTTCATCTTGATTCCAGCCTGTCTTCCTTCTTCTGCTCAGAGTATTTTGACTATATCTCCAGCATACAATTTTAGATGTAAATACTTTAGTATATATCCCAAGGATTTTTGTTTCTAACATAACCATTATCCAATTATCACCTGAAAACCCCACAAAAAAAATTTTTTTTACGATTTTTATTTATTTATTTGAGAGAGAAGGAGAGACAGTGAGAGGAGAGGGAGAAGTGGGCTCCCCGCTGAGCAGAGAGCCCGATGCGGGACTCAATCCCAGGACCCTAGGATCATGACCTGAGCTGAAGGCAGGCGCTTAACAACTGAGCCACCTAGGCATCCCTAATATTTTTTATCTCATTTACTACCAGCTAGTGTTCAGATTTACCTGATTGTCTCTTTTTTTTTTCCAGATTGTTTTAATCAGGTCTAATAAGGTCCAGACATTGCAATTGGTTGTTATGTCCCTTAAATCTTTCATTCTCCTGTCCAGAGGTAAATGATGTCTAGTTGTCCCTGATATTGTCATATAGTAGCCATCCATGATTATTATCTGGATGTATTAATTCATTAGGAGTTGCCATTTGGATTTTAAAAATCTGGTATCGGGACTTCACCACCCTTCACCACCAGTAGGAGGTAGTAGGTTGTGGCAGGCAGCAATTCCCACTGCAACAATTATAAAGAAGATAAATTGCAAAAATTATATTTAAAATTCACTGGAGAGCTGTGGAAATGATGAGGACTAGATGAACTAAAATTTCAGAGAGGGAAAAGCCATTGAGCTGACTATTTCCTTCCCTTGGTTCTTTCACTGATATGATGCCTAGGAGTGGCATGGCATGGTCAGGTATGGCCCAATCAAAGAGGCTACTGAGGGGAAGAGACACCGGCAGACGCTAGAGGAGCTCCAAGCACAAGATTGGTTTTTCCCCATGGGACATTTGCAGAGTTCTGGGATGGTGCAGAAGTCCAGGGGCTATGCCGGAAAGGCAGAGGGAAACTTCTTCATCTCGTGGTGCACAGGAGATAAAAGTCCTACTATAGGGCTGGTACCTGGAATAAGCAACAGCAACGACTTTCCTCTCAATACATTTGCTAGATTTTGAACTTCATGGGGAGGAGGCTAAAGAACTCAGCTCAGAGGGGCACCTCGGTGGCTCATTCAGTTAAGCGTCTGAGTTCGGCTCAAGTCATAATCTCAGGGTCCTGGGATGGAGCCCCGCATCGGGCTCTGTGCTCAGTGGGGAGTCTGCTTGTCTCTCTGCCCCTCTCCCTACTTCTGCTCGTTCACACGCTCTCTCTCAAATAAATAGATAAAATCTTAAAAAAAAAAAAAAAAGAATTCAGCTCAGAATCTATGATGGGCAGAACTTTCAGGACCGAGGAGTCAGAGAGCTTCCAGGCTCTCAACCAAAAGCCAGGGAAGATAATAAATACTTGAGAATAGGGGCAGCCCAGAAGTGGACCAACTATTGATAAATCTCTGATCCTTCCCCGAGCAGTTCAGTCTCTATGATCAGACGGAATTGAGGTTTCAGCCCCTCATTCTATCTGCCTAACATAGGATAAGGAAAGTCTTTTTTGGTGCAAGATTGTATATCAGCCGACACAGTCCTTCCCTCCCCTGTGGAATTGAATTTTAGTCATTTGCTTAACTATGATTGTGCGTGTGCGTGTAGTAAGTGCATATGAAACGTAGTATTTGCCACTTGAACCATTTTGAAGCACACAGTTCGGTAGCATTAATTACATCCGCGATATTGAGCAATGATCGCCGTGGTCTATTTCCACGTTTTCATTACTCCAAGCAAAAAAATCTGTGACCTTTAAGCAATAACTTCCCTTCCTGCCTTCCATTATTTCCTGGTAATGTCTACTCTACTTTCTGTCTCTATGAATTTGTCTACTGTAGATATTTCATATAAGTGGAATCACTTACAGAATCTGGCTTATTTCAGTTAGCGTAACGGTCTCAGGATTTATCCATGTTATAACATATATCAGAACTTCACTCCTTTTAGGGCTGGATAATATTCCACTGTGTGTATGTAACACATTTTTATTTTTTTTATTTTTATTATTATTATTTTTTTAAAGATTTTATTTATTTGAGAGAATGAGAGACAGAGAGCATGAGAGGGAGGGGGGTCAGAGGAAGAAGCAGACTCCCCGCTGAGCAGGGAGCCCGATGCGGGACTCGATCCCGGGACTCCAGGATCATGACCTGAGCCGAAGGCAGTCGCTTAACCAACTGAGCCACCCAGGCGCCCATGTAACACATTTTATGTATCCATCAGTTGATGGACACTTCTGGTTGTTTCCACCTTTCAGCTATTGTGAATAATGGTACAGTGAACATTGACATACAAGTATATGTTTGAGTACCTATTTTGAGTTCTTTTGGGTATATACTAGAAGTGAAATTGCCTTGTCATATGTTAATTCTTTGTTTAGCTTTTTTCTTTTTTTTAAGATTTTATTGATTTGTCAGAGCGAGAGCGCACAAGCGGGGAGGGGGGGCAGGCAGAGGGAGAGGGAGAAGCAGGCTTCCCACGGAGCAGGGAGCCCGATGTGGGGCTCAATCCCAGGACCCTGGGATCATGAGCTGAGCCGAAGGCAGACGCTTCACTGACTGAGCCACCCAGGCGCCCCTATGTTTAGCTTTTTGAGGAACTGCCAGACTGTTTCCGCAGTGGCTGTACTATTGTACATTTTCACAAGCAATAGATGAGCGTTTTAAAAATGGCCATTCTAGGGCACCTGGGTGGCTCAGATGGTTGAGCGTCTGCCTTCAGCTCAGGTCATGATCCCAGGGTCCTGGGATCCAGTCCCATATCGGGCTCCCTGCTCCGCGGGAAGCCTGCTTCTCCCTCTGCCTCTCTCTCTCTCTCTGTCTCTCATGAATAAATAAATAAAATCTTTAAAAAAAAAAAATGGCCATTCTAGTCAGTATGAAGTCATACTTTTTTATTGTTTTAATGTACATTTCCCTAATGACTAATGATGTTGCGCATCTTTTCATGTATGTGTTGGCCATTTGTAGATCTCTTGTCACCCTCATACCAGTGAAAACACCAACAAAATAATTGCTAATTACAGTAAAAGAGTAAATAAGGCCAAGATGAGAAGAGATGAAAGTGGATAGTGAGAAGATAGAATTTAAAACCTAAGCTTTAAGGGATCTAGTGAGTTTTGAGTTTTATACCTCTATGCAGCACAACCCCTGACATCTCGCTGATGATTTTGTATTTCCTTTTAACTTCGGTTTTCTTTTTTTCTGGCCCACCTTTACTTGAGTACAGTATAGGATTCTTCTTTACATCAGTCAACAACAATCAGTTACTGTTGCCAGGATTCATCTGAACTTTGAGCTAATGGTAAGACTTCTCATGTTGGAATCATCAGCTCCTTTGGGATGGGTTTATAGGAGAAATTGGTCTGTATGTACCTGGCGGGAATTAGATCTACTGCTTCAGCCCCTGGACATCAGAGTGGATATCTTAACAGAGCCTCTCGAGAAGGTCTCTTGGCCGCATTCTGGGAAACAGACCAAGGGGTGGTTGTTGGAGGGAAGGAGAAAGTTCCCTATCTCTCTCTGGGTCCACCTGAGTCAAGGCCCTTCTCTGTGAGTTTAAGCAGTCAGATTTTTGCACTCTGCTGCCTGTCGTTGAGTTATCCCAACATCTTCTTTCCCCAGGTTCGGCCCAATAACTATAGCACTTTTTATGATGACCAGAGACAAAACTGGTCCATCATGTTTGAGTCGGAAAAGGCTGCTGTGGAGTTCAATAAACAGGTAATACCATCTTACTCCTCCTGTGAAAGGCCAAACACTAGCCTGGATTTCCCTTGATTTTAGGAAACTATATGGAAAATTCATAACCTGCTATGTTTTGTTAGTGACAAGCATTAAAAACCCACTAAATTTGTCACTTGAGCTTATTGTATTTCAAGGAGATAATAGGAATACTTACTGAAATTGCTTGAAAATGAGACTTTAAGAGAAAAAAGGCTTAATGCAAACTTCTTTAAAACATTTTCCACTTCATAAATTATCTTAAGGAATAAATAAAACTGTCATTTTTTTTAAAGATTTATTTATTTATTTTTATTTGAGAGAGAGAGAATGAGAGAGAGCGAGTACATGAGAAGGGGGAGGGTCAGAGGGAGAAGCAGACTCCCTGCCGAGCAGGGAGCCCGATGCGGGACTCGATCCTGGGACTCCAGGATCATGACCTGAGCCGAAGGCAGTCACTTAACCAACTGAGCCACCCAGGCGCCCAAAACTGTCATTTAAAAATAGTGCTTTAAAAGAATTTTTACAAAGTTAAATGATCCTTGTAGAACATTTAGAACAGCATTTTTTTTTTTTTAAAGATTTTATTTATTTATTTGACCGAGAGAGAGCGAGAGCAGGAACACAAGCAGGGGGAGTGGGAGAGGGAGAAGCAGGCTTCCCGCTGAGCAGGGAGCCGGATGTGGGACTTGATCCCAGGACCCTGGGATCATGACCTGAGCCGAAGGCAGACGCCTAACGACTGAGCCACCCAGGTGCCCTAGAACAGCATTTTTTTAAAAAATCATTTGAAATCTTACTGCCCAAAGTAACCACTATTAATGTTTTCTTTTTTTCTATGTGTAGTGTACATAAGTAAGTATACTCCTTTAAGAGTTCAATATCTTGCTATGTATATGTATTTTTAACAATGTATAATGTGTCTTTCCCCACCTCATGAAAAATTGTTTGGAAACATTTTTGAAATTTGCATGGTATGAATGTTCCTTAATTTATTTAACCATTCTCTTACTTTTAGACATTTAGATTACTCTCCATCTGAAATAAAGGATACTGTAGCAAGCATTGTTGTGTATAATTCTGTGTCCTTTTTTTCCCCCCCGATCATCTCCTCGGGCTAAATTTCTAGAAGTGGAAGATTGGGTCAAAGAGTCCAAATATTTCTTGGTTCTGTAGACAGTTTGGCATACTGCTTTTCAGAGAGATTGTACGATTTCATATACATATCTGTTCTCTCACTATACCTTTGCCAACATTTAAAATTATCTTTTTTTTTTTTTTTTTTTTTAGTCTCATATGCTTGGTAAAAAACGACATCTCATTGCTTTAGGTAGCATTTATTTGATTGTAATAATGAAACTTTTCTTTTAAGCAAATGAGTAGCAAATTTGTAATGTAGACCATGTTAAAAAATTAACAGTAAAGTAAGTATTCACAAAGATGTGTTTGACTCTTTTGTCTAAGATTTGTGCTAAGATGATATGACTAAGTCTGTAGGTGGTGGGCATGCAAATCTGGGAATGTAGCATGGTTTTATAAAGGGCCTTTTTTCTAGCTTACTGTCTTTAGAAATGCCTTCTGAAATTGTTCTAGAAGCTCTCCTTTCTTTCATGGGTTCCCAAACACTGAAACAGTAAGATCCTTATAGTAATGCTAGCTAATGGTTTTTGTGTACTTACTGTTATTTGCCAGGCACAGTGCCAAGGACTCTATTTGTATTTAGCTCAATCTTCATAACTACCCTAGGAAGCATGCAGAGTCTTTAATCTCCATTTTACAAAATACCTGTATGAAATAAGGTTCACAGAAGTTATTTGGCTGAGGCCGCAAGTTAGTAAGTGGCAGTGCCCAGATCTATACCCCGATGGTCTGACTCCAAAGCCTTACTCTTAGGCACTTTGATTCCTGGCAAGATTACGGACTTTGGAATGGTTTATTTGTAAACATGTAATCAGTTTTGTTAGTGGATACCACTGTTTGGAAACATTAGCAATAATGGAGTGAATATTTACCGAGCTTACACTGAGTTTATGCGGCTTTGGTTTCATCTCGCAGGTGTGCATTGCCAAGTGCAACAGCACCCGCTCCCTGGAGGCAGTGCTCTCCCAGGACCTCACTGTAGCAGAAGGCCCTGCTGTAGAAGCTGGAGATTCTTTGGAAGTGGCCTATACCAGCTGGCTCTTCCAGAATCACGTGCTGGGCCAGGTAAGGAAATGTAGCCTACAAGCTCATTTGTAGTTGAAATCGCACTAGGACTCTTCATATGTAAGGTGTTATTACCATGAATTGCTGCTGTCGGCAAATAGAAATCTTCTAGGAACCCTGCTTTGGCTGCTTTTGGGGCACAGCCATGAAATCCTATCAGGTTAAATCTGCTCAGTGCCACTTTGTCTCTTCTGTTTAGAATGGAAACCCATTTCCTAAGTATCATTTTTGGTAATTGTTCATGTGTATGTCTTGTCTTCCTATATCGGTTTTAAACTTGAATTTATTCTTATGGGATTAGGTCTTAAAACTTCTTTTTAGAACTTCCTCCCAGTTGTTTGTTTTTTGTATAATAGATACTATAAATAGAGGGGACTTGTGTCTTAATATCCCAAAGGCAGTATGATATAGAAAGAGCTTTAGACTATGATTCAAAAAAATATACATTCAAGTCCCAATTTAGCCATGATGTGAGTGAACGTTTCTCTTCAGGTATTTTAAGAACTACCCCCCCCGCCCCCCCCCCCAGTATATTTGACATTCCTTATTCCAGGAATACTGTGCTAATCTGTATTGACTATTACTGATTACTATTATTTTTGAAACTGGTTGACCTCATTTACTTTGATCAAATTGCAGGTTTTGGACTCTACTGCTAACAAAGATAAGCTGCTTCGCCTGAAATTAGGATCAGGAAAAGTCATCAAGGTATTGGCTTGACTGTGTTCTTATATGGCTTTATCACTTGTGGTAGGCTTAGTTTATATTAAATTTGTAAAATTTCTAACCTGGGTGTATTTTCTGAGTCTGGAAAAGCTTGGTTAAAAAGTAGGAGGAGAAGAATGTTTACGTTATCTGGGAGATTACCTGGGAAATTTTACCTATGAGAATATATTGAAGATGGTGACATTTGTTTAATTCTCACTCTTTTTTTTCATCGTGTGACTCTGAGGAAATTATTAAAATTATTCAATCTTCCGTGTAGCCTAATAGGGGAAGAGATGAAACTGTTTCTTCTAGAATTGTATCATAATGGGTGATTCTTACCTGTCTGAGATGCCTTGAATCAGCACTTCCCAGTCATTGTGGGAAGCAACTACCACACAGCAAGAGGAACACTGGGATTGGAGTCTGGGACTTGGCTTCATGTTGTGAAGCTTTTCTTTACCAGCTGTGCAAGTGCTTTATAGAATAAAGAGTATTTTACACATGTTGAGTATCATCATGTCAGGACCTGATGATGCTCTACGAAGCACTCACTGGCAAAAGTACTCATTGCCATTTTGCATAACAGAGGTTTTCTTCATAGCTTTGTTTATGCCTCCTTTTGCCAGAATCTTTTGGAGATTTCTTCCTGTAGATCATAGGAGTTAAGGCATGAACTTTAAAGGTACACAGATCTAGTGTTTCATCTTGGCTTAACAATTTACCAGTGATCTGATCTTGAGTTAGTTGCTTCACCTCCCTAAGCCTCAGTTTTCTTACATGTAAAATGGAGATAATGCTCCTAATCTTATAAGTTGTTTTAGGGATTAAACAACATAATGTAAGTAAAGCACTTACCAGAGTACTTAAAAAATATGTATGAATGGTAGCTTTTATTTCTCTTTTAATACCATTGTCCTGTCCTCCAATTTCTCTCATCACCTAAGATAAGCATATATCATCTAGCCCTGGATATGCCGGCTTTTACAAGGGAATAGAAGCAGTATTCTAGATATTCTTATAACCAAGGGGGGATTATAGTTGAATTTGATGTCTCTCAAGAGGTCCAAACCTGAAAGTGTGGAGGAGAGGAGCTTAATATCCGGGACTTCATTTTTTCTTATGAGGAGGCTTGTGTCCTGATGAGCTTTTCCTCTTCTCTGATTCCCGAAGGCCTGGGAAGATGGGATGCTGGGCATGAGAAAAGGAGGGAAGCGGTTGCTTGTCATCCCTCCAGCCTGTGCTGCTGGCTCTGAAGGGGTAGTAGGATGGACTCAGTCGCCGGACTCAATCCTGGTGTACGAGGTGGAGATAAGGCGGGTGAGTGAAATTGTGCTGTTTTGTGTTTGATGAGTCCTTTTTGCCATTAAGTAAAATGAGTAAATAAATATGTTTGAATAACAAATTCAAGGACTTTCTTTCTCTTTTTTTAAGTAAAAATGGTGTAGTTGGAAAGGGCAGTGGCTTTGGAATCTAAAGACCAAGGTTTATGTCCTTCCTGGCACCCTATTTAGAGTCTAGAAGAGGTGGTGACTGAACAAATGACCTTTCTACACTAACCTTTTTATTCTGTCTATAAAATAGTGATTCCTACCCGGTGCACTTGCCTTTTGCCTTAGTAATTCCATGGGTATAAACTTATTGTATTGCTATGTTCACAGTAAGTATGCAAAGATACCTGTATGTAGATAGAGATACATAGTTTCCTCCTTCTGCCACATTATTTGTAATAGTAAAAACTGGAAACAATTTAAATATCCATCATTAAACAACTGGTTAAGTTAAGGTCTTTCACGGAGTAGGCTTTTATGCGTTCTTACAGAATATCCAAAATCTATTAAGTGAAAAAAGGAAGTTGCAAATGAGTACATATAGTATGATCTCTTGTGTGTATACAAATACATGTAAACATATAAAAATACTTACATATAAATAAATAATTTACACAGTCATACACGTACATATTTGTGTATCTATACATATTGATACATATATGCACATATATTCATAGAAAATTGCTGAAAGTGTTAGAAGAAATTATTAAAAGCGTCTTTCTCTGGGGAATGGTAATGGAGTTCAGAAACTTTTTCCTTTTTATTTTCTCCCCTTATTTTCCATTAAAAAATGTTATCAAGGGATGCCTGGGTGGTTCAGTCGGTTGAGTAGCTGCCTTCAGCTCAGGTCATGATCTCAGGGTCCTGGGATCAGGTCCCGCATCGGGCTCCTTGCTCAGCAGGGAGCCTACTTCTCCCTCTGCCTGCTGCTCCCCCCTGCTTCTGTGCGCGCACCCCTCTCTGACAAATAAATAAAATCTTTAAAAAAATGTTATCAAGAGTATGCACAATTTTCTACAATAAAATTTGTAACAAATTGTGGTTAAATAAATTAATGCCCCCCTCCAAAAAAAAAAAAAAAGACCTTGTTTGCTTTACACTGTGTTTGTTAGGTCCAAATGTGATAGTGGTTGTGACTATAAACTACAAAATATAGTACACAAAATAAGTATTATGGTTATCTTTATTGTGGCTGTTATTTCTGCTGCAACAAATGATCTACTTTTCTTCTCAGTGGCTCTTTCCTAATTGAACACCCTTATCTCTGCTGGGTCAATCCAACCCTCTTTTACTCATGGCTTTTAGCTGCCTTTTTCACAGCTTTTATATCTTGTCTCAATTTTCCATTGAGTTTGAGGAAGTCATGAATGGTTTTAGATAACAAACCAATTTGAATCCACCAAGACTGGCATTTTGTAACTGTAAGGAAAAAATACATCATTGCTAACGGCAAGATTTCATTCCTTATTTATGGCGGAGTAATATTCCATTGTATATATGCACCACATTTTCTTTATCCATTCATCAGTGGATGGACACTTGGGCTGCTTCCATAGTTCGGCTATTTAAGATTTTTTTTTTTTTTTGAGAGAGAGAGTGCACACGAGAGAGAGAGCACAAGCTGGAGGGAAGGGCAGAGAGGGGGACAAACAGGCTCCCTGCCAAGCATGGAGCTCCATGTGGGGCTCTATCCCAGGACCCCGGGATCATGACCTGAGCCAAAGGCAAGCGCTTAACCAACTGAGCCACCCAGGCACCCCTTGGCTATTGTTAACAAATTGACATGCTTATTAAATTGACCAGGCTGCTACAGAATGATAATACCCAGTGTGATGAGTGTCGAGAGAACATTACACACTACTTGTGGAGTATAGAGTAGTTCACCCTTTGTGGTGTGAAATTTAGTGGTATATATCAAAAGTCTTAAAAATGAACATACCTTTTCTCTCAACTATTTAATTTCTGGGAATTTATACTTTGGGAATGATTATGTGCAAGGATGTAGATAGAAAGTTATTCATTGAAGTATTGTTTGTGATGTGACAGGAAAATTAGGAATGAACTGTATATCTAACAACCAGGAATTGGTGAAATATATTTTGTAGCAGCATAGGTATTTAAGACTTCTGTTCCCAAAATCTTTTGGAGACTTTTTCCTATAGATAATGGCAGGTTTGGGCATGACCCTTGAAGTTAGACATAATGTTCAGTAGTTACAAATGATGTTGTAGAGGGACGCCTGGGTGGCTCAGTCGGTTAAGCGTCTGCCTTCAGCTCAGGTCATGATCCCAGGGTCCTGGGATCGAGTCCCGCATCGGGCTCCCTGCTCCGCGGGGAGCCTGCTTCTCCCTCTGCCTCTCTCTCTCTCTCTATCTCTCATGAATAAATAAATAAAATCTTTAAAAAAAAATGATGTTGTAGATTAATAATTTAGTAACATGGAAATATGTTACTGAGTGAACAAAGCAGATCACAAAACAATATGGTCCCTTTTTAATAAAAAATACACAAAGACATAATATAAATGTGAAATACTGCAACTCAAATTCTAGCAGTGTTATTTTGTCATGATTGGATTGCAGGTGATTATTATTATTGGCTTATCCACATTTTCTGATTTGCTGCAAGGGAACAGGTAATGACTTGTGTAGTGAAAAATAGGTAAAAGAAAGGAGGGTGGAGAGGGCAGGGTTCCTTTTTTGTAGCCTGTTCCACCTGTGGTTGCTCTCTCCCTAGGTCAAGTTTGCCAGAGATTCTGGCTCTGACGGGCACAGCATTAGTTCCCGGGATTCTGCGGCCCCTTCTCCCATACCAGGTGCTGACGGCCTCTCTGCTGACCCTGTTTTATCACCACCCACCTCAGTGCCTTTCAAATCAGGGTAAGATCCTGGAGTTGTATCATGCTCTTTTACTGTCCATAAAAATGATCCTTAGAGGGGTTCAGAAACTGGGATGGTTGCAAACTTAAGTAATTTTAAATAATTGGGAAAAAAATGGGATGAGAGAAATGGGGAAAATACTAGCATCAAGATTTTTCTGACAAAGGATTAATTTTCATAGTCTTTAAATGCACTAACTTGGATGTGTATGAATACCTGCTGAACTCTGGAAGAAAACTGGGTAAAAAATAAGAAGAATTTGAATGGAAAATTATTCATTTTCACCAGCTTTCAGAGATTAATGCAAACTGAAGAATGGTTATGATTCTGTATCATAGCCATTGAATTGGCAAACGCTTTCAAAAACAATTTGTTTATGCAGCATAATCGGGACTTATGATTATAGATTTGGGATTTTTTTCTTTTAACCTCAGCATATGTCTTACTTGATTTCAGGGAGCCGGCCCTTCGTATCAAATCTAACTCCCTCAGTGAACAGCTTACAGTAAATTCAGTGAGTATACAAGTCTGTCTCTCACCCCCAGTCTACTGAGAAGGTTTCGTGTGCCTCGCGGTAGGGTAGGTTAGAGCAAAAAAAAAAAAAAAAAAAAAAAAAAAAGCTACTTTATTAATTTCCCCTTACTGGAGAGTTAGTATAAATTAGCTTCTGCATGGGCTGACCTGGGTTCAAATCTTTATTCTTGTAAACTTGTGGCCTTGAGAAAATTATCTTAACTTTTCTACTCCTCCGCTTCTTCATGATTAAAATGGAAATAATTCTCACAGCCCCAAAGCACTAAGCTCAGAGCCTACATAAAGTATGACTTCACTAAGCATGAAGATTTTTATACTCAAGAGGTATTTATGAGATTTAAATGAAATCATACGTGTGAAGTTTTTAGTATCGTGTCTGGCATATTGTAAGAGCTCCATTAACATTAGCTCTTGTTATTATAATTACTGCTAACACTACATACCTTCACACTTTCATTCTCTTAGATGAATTCTGCACTAATTCACCAACTAGCGGACTTTGAGATGGTCTCTGGGCCTCTGTGTTTCCCTAACTGTAAGACAGGAAGACTAGCATACAGTTGTAGTAAAATTTGGATTTGAAAGCCTTTGGGAGCAGCATGTACGCTGTACTTTGCCACTACCCTGCCTAGTTCATGAAGGCATCTGAGTTTGCTGCATGAGCATGCGGCGAAAGCCCTGTGGCTTCCACCTACCACTTTGGGAAACAGGATGATTGCTTGGAGTGAAATTGGTGATTACTTTCTCTCCAGCCCTAGTTTACTTGTTTATACTCAGCCCAAAGCAGGAATTACTAAGCAAATAATTGATCTGGTATGTATAAAAAGTGATCTCTGAAACCCAGAAGGTTAAGCCAAAGAATTAAGAAAATTTAAAAAACTATAATCTCAGATCTTTGAACAGTCACAAAATTTATTTAGTATTGGTTCTATGGTACTTTCTAGACAGAGCTACTTTTGTCACCTATTTCTAAGCTTGAGTAACTTCCAATAGACTAGTGGTCTCCAGCCTTCTTTCTTTCTTTTTTTTTTTTTTTTTTAAAGGTTTTATTTATTTATTTATTTGACAGAGAAAGACACAGCGAGAGAGGGAACACAAGCAGGGGGAGTGGGAGAGGGAGAAGCAGGCTTCCCGCCGAGCAGGGAGCCCGATGCGGGACTCGATCCAGGGACTCCAGGATCATGACCTGAGCCGAAGGCAGTCGCTTAACCAACTGAGCCACCCAGGCGCCCTCCAGCCTTCTTTAAAATTTTCTTTTGTCTTGTTAGTTTTTTTTTTTTTAATTGAAGCAAAACTCACCATCTTTTTTTTTTTTTTCTTTTTACATTTAAGTTTTTTTTTAATAGGTAATTGCATTCATAAAGTTCAGTTATTAAAACAGTATAACAGAGTGTACCTTGAAAAGACTTGCTCCCACCCTGACCCCTGGGTACCCCATCCCATCTCACTCTCCTTTTAGGTAACTGCTTTTATTAGTTCCATATATATTCTTTCAGTGTTTCTGTATGCAGATGGAAGCAGATAGGAATGTATATTTTACTTCTCCCTCCTTTCACAAAATATGGCATAGTATATATATTACCTATCATTTCTACATACTGCAATATATGTAATAGTATCTTTCCATGTTAGTGTACAGGAAGCTTCCTCTTTCTTTTTTTTCTGTAGATTGCAGTATGCCATTGTGGGGTATGGTTTATGTAACTAGTCCTCTTTTGATGAACCCAGCTTTCTTTCTTTTTTTTTTTTCTTTTTTAAGATTTTATTTATTTGACACAGAGAGAGACAGTGAGAGAGGGAACACAGGCAGGGGGAGTGGGAAAGGGAGAAGCGAAACAGGCTTCCCACTGAGCAGGGAGCCCGATGTGGGGCTCGATCCCAGGACCCTGGGATCATGCCCTGAGCCGAAGGCAGACGCCCAACGACTGAGCCACCCAGGCGCCCCTGAACCCAACTTTCTTTGATTATGTGTTTCCAATCAGTCAAGAAAAATTGAGCACACACTCCCAGTATCTATATATATTTATAAATTATATATATACCGTCCCTCCCTGTAAACAAGCTTCATGTCTTACGTTTACCACAGCTTAGAGATAATTCAAAATTAGAGGTTATGATCATCTCTCTTTTTTTAAAGATTTATTTATTTATTTATTTATTTAAGAGAGAGGGTATGGGGCGCCTGGGTGGCTCAGTTGGTTAAGCGACTGCCTTCGGCTCAGGTCATGATCCTGGAGTCCCGGGATCAAGTCCCGCATCGGGCTCCCTGCTCAGCAGGGGGTCTGCTTCTCCCTCTGCCCTCTTCCCTCTCATGCTCTCTGTCTCTCATTCTCTCTCTCAAATAAATAAATAAAATCTTTAAAAAAAAGAGAGAGAGAGGGTATGTGTGCATGTGCACATGCGCCTGTAAGGGTGTGGGGAGAGGCAGAGGGAGAGAATCTTCAAGCAGACTCCCCACTAAGCACGGAGCCCAATATGGGGCTCCATCTCACAACCCATGAGATCACGACCTGAGCGGAAATCAAGAGTCAGTCGCGTAACTGACTGAGCTACCCAGGTGCCTCATGATCATCTCTTTTTATACCCAGTAGATTATCATGTACACCTCAGGGGTATATACTCTCCACTCTGAAGGCTGCACTTTGGACCAGTTAATGGATACAGAGGCTTCTAGCACAGGGGCTATTATGTAGTCAGTGCCAAGTCAGAGTTAAATGAACGTGAATTTGGAACAAAGAGCTCCTGTTTCCTTCTTTCCCCAAATTGCTTCTGAATATTATCTGCTGAATTGCTCCCAGGGTTTTCAGAGGGTACTGTCATCTTAGATGGATCTGTACTTAGTTTTTCATCTGGAAAATGAGAAGAATTATGCCTGGTGGGGAGACTTGATTGAAATGAAATAATACATGTGGAACCGCTTTGTCCATTCCAACATGTAGGGAATTATTTTTACTGCTATTATTAATTGTGACCCATGTCACAATTTCTTGGCAAGAAATCTTTAATTCTCATTTTGTAGAAGAAAAAGCTTCAAATCGATATAGCAGGGGGACTTGTTGAAGGGTTTGATGTAAAAGCCAAAGACATAGAGCTAAAGTAGCGAGCCTTGATTATAGTGATTTTTGTGACTTTCCTCTTTTTAGAATCCTGATACAGTCAAAGCCAAGTTGATCTCTCGGATGGCTAAAATGGGCCAGCCCATGCTGCCCATCCTTCCACCACAGCTGGATTCCAATGATTCAGAAATCGAGGTATGACCCCTGGGCTGTGTTAGAATGAATAGTGCAGACGTTTCTGCCTTGTGTTCTTTTGGTTAAGATTACTACTTTTTCTGCCTGTAACCCAGAATCATCATGTAGAAAGCTTATATTCAAAATGGTATAGGTTGGTATTGGTACATGTGTTTCCACTGTGATTAGCACTTCCCCTGAGAAATGGAAGCAATCCCGCACATCTGCACAAGAACGGGGAAGTTTTAAGTAGTCCATATAGCCTTCTACTAGGTTCTCTACTGTCAGTAAAAATCACACTTGAGGCAGCATGGTGCCCAACCCATAAAAGATGCTCAATTCACTTTGGTTGATTGAATGTTTAGATTCTCTTGGGAAACATTTGTCTTCCCACTGATGTTACCTGTTACTAAAGATTGCACTGTTGTGTCTCTCGGCTTTGTATATGGTGTGAGTGTTTTGAAGTTCAAGAATTTTATTGCAGTGAAATCTATCAGTTTTGTCCCTTTGTTTTTTGCTTTTGACATTATGCTTAGAAAGCCTTCTCACTTTCAGGTATTATAAACATCACGTGTTTTCTAAAAATATTATTTCGTGTTTAGATCTAAAATTTTAATCCATGTGGAATTTGGTGTATGATACGAAGTAGCTCAGTTCTAACTTAGTTCTTTTCCCATTGCTTAGTTCCTTATTGAGTAAAGTCATCCTCTCAGTTGAATTGAAACACTTTTAACAGAGATTAACAGAGATTGATTTTTAGGATTCTTTGACTTTGATGTAAAACAAAGCAAAGGTGATGCTCTTGAAAAAATTTTCTAGCATAGGCTTTATTTTTCATAATTTTGTTTTATTTCTTTCTGGAAAAGCTGTAAGTAGATTTAATATTTTAAAAGAGGGTAGGATTTCTGGGGCCTCTTGTTATAGGATTGATTTTTAGCTGGTTCTGGAAATTAAATTTTAATAAGGTAATACTGTTATTAAAATTTTTAAGTGCTACTTATTCATTGTAGAATGATTTAAATTGCAAAGAAAGAAAAAATATATTTAGCAAAAAGTGCATTCTTCTTTATATATTATTGCTTTGTAACCTGATTTTTTAACTTAGTATCATGAATATTTATGTTAATACCAATATGAATAACATAAATAATATAATTAACATAAGTAAATAAAGCAAAGCATTATTTCCTTTAAAGGCAACTCATTGTTCTGTTAGATCGATTTATCATAATTTCTTTCATTCTGTTGTTAGACATTTAAGTGGATTTAGAGCTGCAGCGATATAAAACTGTCATGCTTTTCCAGAAGTGCATAATGCGTTTTGGAGAACATCAGGGGGCAAGGGGAAGTTCTAAAGTAAAAGAATGTCAAAGAGATTTCCGCCTTTGAACTGTAGGATAGCAAGTAAACTGTATATTGTGCCCCAAGTTTTTCTTTTCCTTGTATGAATTGGGAAGATGTTTAGTAACTTTGTTTAGAATTATAGTAGGGACCAACATTGCTTTGACTTTTATGAAAAGAAAGAATGGGGAAGAAACACTCTAAAACTGCAATATCCAGGGCGCCTGGGTGGCTCAGTTGGTTAAGCGACTGCCTTCGGCTCAGGTCATGATCCTGGAGTCCCTGGATCGAGTCCCGCATCGGGCTCCCTGCTCGGCGGGGAGTCTGCTTCTCCCTCTGGCCCTCCCCCCTCTCATGTGCTCTCTCTCATTCTCTCTCTCTCAAATAAATAAAATTTTTAAAAAATCTTTAAAAATAAAAAAAAAAAACCAAAAAACCCGCATTATCCAAAAAACATGGTAATGAGGTGCAGTGAATCTTGCTGTGTCTGATTTTCAGTGAGTACCTTGAGGTCTGTGGAGATGATTTGGCAGGAGAGGAGAGGCTGCACTATTGCTTGGGTTTCCTTGCAAGAGACCCCCGTTCTGTGGGAACAGACTAGGTCAGGTTTAAGGTAGCTGCTGGTTTGGAAAATGATCCATTCTGGAGAGCAGTCACTTTAGCTGCTTCAGTCAATAAAACAACAACTTAGAACGTTCGGGGAAATTACATATACTTAATTATTTGATATGATTTACAGGGAGAAGGGATCTCCCCACAGCCCACACCCTAAACTCTTGCCTTTCCTTCCTCTTCTTTGCCTAAAAACACTGGCTGTAAGCAGGTTTAGGGTGGACAGTCAGCCTCGGTCTCCAGTTAAGGACCCACATACATAGTCACCAAAATGCCCCTTCCTGTTTCAGGATGCGAGTGCCCTGCGCGGAGCTGCACAGCCCGCGGCAGCTCCGTCCCTGCAGCCCGCTCTTCAGCCAGCGCATCCAGCCCTCCCGCAGATGGCCGCACAAGGTAAGGGGCCTCTCCGGCTCTGCAGATTACCAGAGTTATCATCCCGGTTCCTTAAGTTGTCGGGCTGCAGTGTATTAGTACTGAGACTGGACTAGAGTGTAAAACTTGGCAGTTTGTCCCTGGGTAGGGCATTTTCCACCCTGGAGATGGATTTGGTCTGCGTGCTTTGTCTCCTGCCATGTGGCATTGCCAGGTTCGGAAGCGTGCTCTCAGCTAATGAGACACTTCCCTGTGTGTAATTGTGCCCTGTGTGTAATTGTGCACTTCCCATCAGCGCATGGCATTGTAGGTCTGAGTCCCATGTGCCCGAGAACCCCAGGTTCCTTCTACTAGTCTGTTCCTGAGACTCCAGTAGAGTTGGTTTCGGGAGAGCAGGTGAGGAGAGGTGGTCAAGTCTGAAGCATGTTGCAGTATGTAAGGTTCTAGTCCAGACTTTTACCAAGAAACCAGAGTGGATGACAGTGAAAACTTCTTGCTTTATCGTAGCATCTCAGCCATCTGTTTCTGGCCTCCAAGCACCCTCTCCTGCCTTAATGCAAGTTGCCTCCCTCGACTCGCACTCCGCGGTGTCTGGAAATGCCCAGTCCTTTCAGGTAATGACATTTTTAAACCATATCAGTCATAGGCGGTAATTTATTAGGTGCTCGTCAGTCTCTCTCCTCCCTCCTGCACACTTTGTGCAGTAGCAGTTCCCCACATCAGAATTCGTCGTTTTCCCCCTTCCTGAACCACCACCATCTCATCTCTAAATCAGACCAAGGATTACCTCCCTTACAGGTTGTTGTAAAGCCGAAAGGTAAGAACAGGCAGAGCACCGGGTACAAGGCCTGGCACATGGTAAAGGCCCAGTCAGTGTTTGTTTCCTTTCCTTTGCACACAGGTCGCCTGGAGGGGGATGCAAGTCCTCTGTTCTTGTCCACTAGCTCGATAGGCTAAGGTTCTGCTCTGTGTGGAGCAGAATGCTTGTAGCTTGAGGGTATATGGAAAATACAGCTAACTCTGCTTCTGGTTATCCTCCAAAAGGGGTGTCGGAAAGTAGGTTTTTTCTGTTTTCACAGAAGGTAGTGGCAGCAGCCTGCCTCTGCTGTTTGCTGGGGTACTGGGCTCTTTCTTCTGTCTGACACAATGAGTGCATGAACATACTCCCAGCGATAGGAGGGCTTCACTTCCTTGGTGATTCTTAATGGAAGGGTGGCAGTGATGGTGAGCGGGCTATGCCCCACTGGGACAGGGTGTATTCGAATTTTAAAAAGTCCCACCTTGCCCTCTCCTTACTCCCTAGTGGACAATTCGATCCTATAGACTAAGTTCGTTTTTTTTTTTTTAATAATGGATGGGTATGGGGCGCCTGGGTGGCTCAGTTGGTTAAGCGACTGCCTTCAGCTCAGGTCATGATCCTGGAGTCCCGGGATCGAGTCCCACATCTGGCTCCCTGCTCAGCGGGGGGTCTGCTTCCCCCTCTGCCCTCTTCCCTCTCGTGCTCTCTGTCTCTCATTCTCTCTCTCTCAAATAAATAAATAAAATCTTTAAAAATAATAATAATAATAATGGATGGGTAGTTTATCTGTCCCTGGAAATGAACTGGATTTCCTTAACTCAAGGAAGAACAACCATCATCATTTAAAATAAAGCTGCTGTTTATTGAGCATTTACTATCTGCTGTGCACTTAATTTACCAGCTGTGAGGAACTTTACCTATATATCACTTCATCTGGTCCACACAACAACCCTGAGTGGTGTTAGTCTTTTCATCTTATAGTTGAGGTGACCAAGGTTCAGGGGAAAATGAGAGCTCTTGATCACAAGAGCATCAGAATCTTGCAGGGGAGAGGTATCCTTTGGAGACTCGTGGATTTACTTTGGAATCTCAGTGAACACCTGTCCTTTGATCCCAGTGGAAACTCAGCCAAGTGTCTTTATTTATTTATTTTTAAAGATTTTATGTTTTTATTTTTGCGCGCATGCATGCATGAGAGAGAGAGAGCGTGCGCTCGTGCGCACGCTTGTGGGCGGTGGGGGGGGGCAGGGGCAGAGGGAGAAGCAGACTTCCCACTGAGCAGAGAGCCTGAATCAGGACTCTGTCCCAGGACCCTGGGATCATGACCTGATCCAAAGGCAGACACTTAACCGACTGAGCCACCCAGGCACCCTCAGCTGAGTCTCTTTAGATTTACAATTTCTTAGACCATCAGTAGGCCTAACAGCTGGGAACTGAATTCCTACTTAATTAAATCACAGTGGCAGAGGACTGGGGAGCAATCTGAGACAGCCTTCCCTGACTTTCTGGGTGGGACTTCAGTGATCGGGCGCCTGTGTCTCTGGATGATACAGAATTCTGCTGTGGTGCCTACCCAGTACCAAATCAGATCTCACCTGTCTCCAGCTTTAATAAATTTGCGTCTCCTTCCAGCTTAATCTCTTTATTCCATCAAAGACAGATTAAGCAGGAAAGAGAGCCGTGAATATAACTTGGCATTTTCTCAGCCCTATGCAGGTATGCAAGCCTACGCTTATCCCCACACATCAGCTGTCACCTCCCAGCTGCAGCCTGCCCGGCCCCTCTACCCCGCTCCACTCTCTCAGTCTCCCCATTTTCAAGGTAGGCCGTGGGCCCTCAGTGTCTCGTCTTCCACTCTTGCTCTGCTCTCCTTCCTCCCACCCCCCTTTCCATTTTCACTCCAACAGATCTCTGCTTTTTTTTTTTTAAACAGCTTTGTTGAGGTGAAATTTATGTATCCTACAATTCACTCACTTTAAGTGTGTAATTTAAGGATTTTTTCAGTAAGTTTACAGAGTTGTGCAACTTTCACCGCAATCCAATTTTAGAACGTTTACATCTTCCCCAAAAACCACCTCATGCCCACTTTCTGTTTTGTTTCTTGCATTTTCTCCGGTCAGCCCTTTTCCATTGCTCTGTCAGTGTTGCTCTGTAGAGTTTCTAGAAAACAATAAGAGAGTGAAATGTTGGGGGAATTGGGAGAACGCATAGGTAACTGTGGGTGTTCAGTATCTCAAATGAAAGCTACTTTGTTAACATTTTTAAATTATGGAAATCATATGCTTTTATAAAAAAGTCCACATAAAAGAGTATAAAATGAAAAGTTACTGTTCTCCATCATTAACACCCCCCACCCTTAGGAAACTGTTGTTAACAGTTACTTGGGTAACTTTTCAGATATCTTTCATGCATGTACAAGTGTGCATAAAAAGCACATTGCTTTAAAAAACAAAAATTATAATTTTATATTAAAAAACAAAACAAAATAAAATGTAAGTAGCTGGCATGCTATTCTACCTTCTTATTCTGCAGCTTATCTTTGGTATTGGGACAGTGGTAGGAAGGAGCCAGTATGTCCTACAGCATAATTTATGGTCCCGGGTTGGTAAGGGTTTCCTGGATGCTCCCTTTGTCTGGAAACCCTGCCACTTGTCCATCTGGGAGACCACCAAATCTATCATCTCTGTGAAGCCTTCCCCGATTGTTACCATCGCTTCTTCCTCTTCTCCCACAGACATAACTGTGTATATGTGTCACCAAAGAGTTAATCTTGCTTTTCTTTGTGCTCCTTTTGTACTTTGTACATGGTCCATTTTTTGCACTTAAGCACTCTGTCGTAATGATCTGTTTACATGTGAGTCTCCCCACCAGACTGTGAGCTCGCCAAGGGTAGGAACCGGGTTTCATTTGTTGCTGAATCCCTGGTGCCTGGTACAATACCTAGCATGCAGTTGGATGAGCAGAGATGCAATCTGAGCTGTTAGTGCTATGGCAGACCAAAGTGGGCATCCTTGTGCTCTAGACCAGACCGTACCCCTTGATGCATTTTGCAGGAGCAGAGCTTACTTACTGTTAGCTTTGGCACCCTTTTGCCTCTGTGTCCTCTATATCTTCTCCAGACAGTGTGAATCACCTACAGCAGTTCCTGCTATTTTGGGATGTTCCTCTGCTCTAGTTTCGTAAAGTTCTTTTTGGCTTATGTCTGTTTAGGATCTGGTGACATGGCTTCATTTCTCATGACTGAAGCCCGGCAACATAACACTGAAATTCGAATGGCTGTCAGCAAAGTGGCTGATAAAATGGATCATCTAATGACGAAGGTGAGTGAGTCAGGGTTGGGGCTGTGTTGAAAGTGGGGGAGTGAACAGGGGGTATAAGCAGGGAGCAACCAGGGCTATAGGTAAACTCTTCCTTGGTTTCCTGTATTCCTAGTAGTTGGTAGTTATTTCCCTGGAAGGTTAGTTTTTAGTTTGGAATCCAGTTGGCAGAAGAAAATTCTAGCTTATCTTAGAGATTGTCTCAGAAACTTGTTAGGCCCTTCCAAAAAGTGGTCAGATCTTGGGTAAATTATATTTCTCCATTTAAAAATTTCTCTCAAAGTCTTTCTGTCCCGTTTGTAGGTTGAAGAATTACAGAAGCACAGTGCTGGCAGTTCCCTGCTGCCTCCCAGCATGGCGCTTACGATGGAGACGAGCATGATTATGAGCAACATCCAACGTATTATTCAGGTGAGGGGCATCGAGAAGAGAACACAGCCTGGAGATCTTGCCTCCTTCTCTTCCAGGATGTGCTACTCTCTAAAACCTCTGCTGCACAGATAGCATGTGATCAGTGCTACACTGAGTTGGGAAATTCTGGAAAATCTGTTATGGCCTAATTTGGTCCAAGTGACTTATCAGTATAGAGTCACAAGGAAACATTTCTTTTGGACCATATTTTAGCATTTTGCCTCATTTAATGGGCATTTCTATGTTTAATCTATTGGGCATTGTGACTGGTATCCATCAGATATGATTGGTTGTTTTAAATATATCGATGTGGACATAAATTCTAGTTTTTTATCTCAAAATTTGTAACAGTATCACCTGTCAGTTCAAGTTGATTCCCTTATATCTGGCACTTTTCTTCTAAAAACTTAAGTTATACCTTGTATATTTTGAATTTAGGAAAATGAAAGATTGAAGCAAGAGATCCTTGAAAAGAGCAGTCGGATAGAAGAACAGAATGACAAGATTAGTGAACTAATTGAACGAAATCAGAGGTAATGACAGGTACGGGGCACTGGCTAGGATGGACAAAGGGTTTCATTTGTAAATGCCCAAGTTAGATAAACATGTTTGTTTAGGGTAGTTTATGTGTACTACTGCTATTTCTGTTTCCTGCCTGTCATGTGAATTATTGTTTGTTTTCTGAGATGCATTCCGATAGAAAGAGCGCAGTAGGCTGTGATGTCAGGCAGACCTGTGTTTGAATCCCAACTCTGCTCCTCTTTTGTTGTGTGGCTTTGGGTATTTACTCCTCCTGCCCTTGTTTCTTCATCTGTAAAAGTGGCGTTAATACTTAGAACACTTTTAGAAAATACTATCAACTCTTCTCTCTACTATGTGGGCTATTTCATCAACCAGAACTTCAGCGATTTCCATGTAAAGCCCAAACATTGTGTAATTTTTCTAGATCCTTCTAAAGATTTTGGCAGGGGATGAGGGGGGATTGTGTGGTCAGGGTAACGTGTCATAGCAAATAGCATTTCACTTAGAAAATCATTCTTCCATGGTTCTCTTTTCTAGTGTCTCTTGTCTCCCACACGGTGGGGGGGTTGGAGGGGGAGCTGGGGGGAGAAGTGCTTTCTTTTCTTCACCCCTCTCCTCTTTCATCCTTCATTCCCCCTCACGACACATGCTTCCAGTTCCTTTTCTCTTCATTATGTAAAGCAATTCACTTCTGGCCCAGGTTCCTACCTCCAAACTTGATTACTGCAGATCTAAGGAAAACAAAATGCTTTCAGACTATTTTTTCAAAGGTATAGAGCAATGTTGTGAGGACTGAATGTGCGCTGGTTGGGTCTGATGTACATTCAGTGCTTGATAAATGTCTTTTCCCCTGTTTCACAGGTACGTTGAGCAGAGTAACCTGATGATGGAGAAGAGGAATAACTCACTTCAAACAGCCACAGAAAACACACAGGCAAGAGTATTGCATGCTGAACAAGAGAAGGTAAAGTAACTAGGGAGAGAAAAGCCCATCAGGATATGTAGAGCTAAGGAGTGCTCCTGTGTACATACTTACTAGTCTGCTTTTCAGAAAAACTTTTGCCATCATTGGGAACAGAACTAGAAAGCTTCTAACAGATTTTACTATATCCACCATCCAGACTTCTGTTTTATTTTTTTAAATAAAGATTTTATTTATTTATTTGCCAGAGAGAGAGAGCGTGAGAGTACAAGCAGGGGGAGTGAAAGGCAGAGGGAGAAGCAGGCTCCCCACGGAGCAGGGAGCCCGATGCGGGACTCGATCCCAGGACCCTGGGACCATGACCTGAGCTAAAGGCAGACACTTAACCAACTGAGCCACCCAGGCATCCCTAGCCTTCTGTTTTAAAGTACTCTTTGCAATGAGTTGACTCAAAAACTATCACTGATCTTAGTAATTTGTTTAAAGTGAGGATTACATTGTTTATTAGCAAATGAAATTTATTCTCTTGACCTAATCAACAGAAAATTCCTATTATGCCATATAACAAACACTTTAGTGAAATTTAAGATTGTCTAGCTTATTCCTCCATCTGCATCTGCCAGAGCATTTTAGAGTACTGCTGTCTGGCTTCAGTCCATTCAGAATGAGGCATTTCGACCTGTTCCTGTGAGTAGCTGTAAGGAAGACCCTAGTGGGTCTTGGGCTGGGCTAGGCTGATGCTGATGCGCACTCCTCCCATTGCTGCCCCAGTGACACCGTTTATCTGGAGTGGAGTCCTTCTGGTTTGGGCTACTGCTCCTTAGCTGGAGATTTTGACCCAGCCATCTGCTGTTATCTCACAGGTTTAAGAAATAGTTTATATTTTGTATTTGGATTTTTCCTGAACACTTGAAGAAGTTGAGTGGAATGCACTTTATAACCTGTGGAGTTTACTCACTTTCTCATAGACCAGTAATGCTGAGGATTCCTTACTTAGATCTTGTGCTATTATTATTCTCCGTGTTCTCTTAGTCATAGTGTTCCGGGAAGAAATAGCTCCAACCCCTTATCCTCCGATGAGCAGTGCCTTGCCCTGCATAGCCCCATCCCAACATTACCCCGGTCCTTTCTCGCTGCTACTTTCCAGCATCCCTCATTTGTTGTGGCTGGCTCCTCCAGCCTGAGGTCAGCAGCCTGGGACACTGCCATCACTGAATAATACTGGAGTCACTTCACTCTCCATTAACCATATTTTTTACTATTTCTCCTTCTTCTACTTTTATTTTCTCGCTCTCATTTACTTTTTTTTTTAATCCTTAGGCCTGGCAGGGACACCCAAATATGTTGTTTGGTCGAGCTGTTAGACCTGTTATTCGGGTCTAGCATGATTACTAGACCTTGCTCTAGATCAGTGGTTCCCACACACTAGTCTGGCTGCCTCAAGATCACTTGAGGTGCTTTATTAAAAATACATATTCTTGGGGCGCCTGGGTGGCTCAGTCGTTAAGCGTCTGCCTTCGGCTCAGGTCATGATCCCAGAGTCCTGGGATCGAGCCCCGCGTCTGGCTCTCTGCTCAGCGGAAAGCCTGCTTCTCCCTCTTCTACTCCCCCTGCTTGTGTTCCCTCTCTCACTATGTCTCTCTCTGTCAAATAAATAAATAAAATCTTTAAAAAAAAAAAAATACATGTTCTTAAACTTCACGTTGAGATTCTAATTCAGCATTATATAGCCAAGGGCTGAATCTGAACTTTCAAAAGCTCCTTTAGATTCTGACGCACAGCCAGCTAGGACTCACTGCTCTTTGTTAGTGGTTTCTTTTGCCTCAGTCTCTAGATGTGGCAGCTGGGTGCCTTTGTTTTTAGGAACTTCCCCATGTGATTCTCATGTTGAGCATCAGTGGGGGGAATGTGTGTGTGTTCCAATAAAATTTTATTTACAAAAACAGGCAGCAGGCCAATTTGGCCTGTGGGTCAGAGTTTGCCAACCGCATGAGTTAGCTTATTAATCCACCCACATGATTTTTTTTTTTGAACATTTTTTTTTATTTTAGAGAGAGCGCATGCGCGAGCAGGGGAAAGGACAGAGGTAGAAGGAGAGACTCTCAAGCAGACTCCGCGCTGAGTGCAGAGCCCAACTCAGGGCTGGATCTCATGACCCTGAGACCATGACCTGAGCCGAAATCAGGAGTTAGACGCTCAACCGACTGAGTCACCCAGGAGCCCCATATTGATAAACAAAAATGGTTGGCACCATGCCTGGCACCTGGTAGATGCTCCGTCTGTGATAGCAGAACGTGCAGTAATGACAACAACAGAGAGAACAGCTCTGATCTGTTCAGTCCCCGCCAGGTTCTAGGCACCGTGCTTCCCACACATCTGTCTGAGAGCATCTTCTGGGCTGAGTAGCACTGTGCTTGATGAGTTGGGTACCAGATATCATACACCTCGCTTGGCTGCTTTGATTTCAGTGAAACTTTTCAAGGCTTGACCCTTCCTGTTTTCCTTTTGCTCCACTTCTTTCTTACTTGATAGTCATCCCTATGAGGGCTGTCCTCCTAAAGGGAGATCATCAAGGTCCTTTGATCCCTGGAGGCAGCTCTCTGCCTTCAAATGCAGCTCAGAGAGTTTTGGCTGAGACCTCAGTGGACATTTGGTGAATGGAATTCATTATTTTTCTCTCTGATGGGGTTAGTATTTCCACATAAAACCCTGGACTAACAGGAGAGCTGTTGGAGGTCACCTGGTTTGACCTTCCTGTTTTACAGAGGGCAAACTGAGGCCCAGGGAGAGGAAGCAGCTTGCCCAGGGCCTCACTGCCAGTCAGCTGTGTCATTTTCCTTTTGTCAAATTGCCATTTTGCTTTGGTACCATTTTCCTGCTTCTGACTTGAATGCTTCTTTTTACTTGTTTTTCTGAACTCTTGGTTCTCCCTGCCTTTGCTTTCCTTTCCTGTTTACTCGTCCCTTCGCTCATTTCTCTGTGCACACAGGTGTGTTTGGGTGAGAGTATTACTTGTCATGCTTCTAATAGGCCTTTCCATATAAGGCCCTGAGATAAATAGAGCTTTTGAGTGACCTTTCACTCTGCTTGTCCTTTGGGGAGAGAGGGACCACCCATCCCACTGCCTCCCCTCCAGTGACCTTCAGCCCTTCCAGTGGTCTTAGCTGCTGCGAGGCCTTTGTGAGGGGCCCTCGCCCTGATATTTGTGAACTCTGGAGCTGCAGACACAAAGCTCTCTGGGTGCTGTGTGAGCTCAGGCCCCGTTAGGCCATGTGCGTCAGGACAGTGACTAAAACTTTTATTCTGTATGGGGTAGATGAAAACCCCTTTTCTATCTGGAAGTTCTAGCGGCCGTTGTCCTCTGTGTTTAACAGGTAAAATCCTAAGGCTACTGAATAGCAAAAATAAGTATCTTAGAGCTCACTTGAAAGGTCTCATACTGCAAAAGAAAAAATTACTCAGACACTTCCTGAAGCAGTAAGGAGGACTTTATTCAAGGCTATTGCAGTAGGAGAGAAAGATTGGGCTCCACTCCAAATACAGTAAGGGCAGATGGGGGATTCGTAGCTAAGGAGCAGAGTGAGGGGTCAGTGCTGGAAAATTATTCAGAGGAGACCTCATGGGTGGGGGGATTCTTGCTAAACTGACCTAGTAGGATTCTTGCTAATGACTGGCCAAGGACTGGGATACCAAAGGTCGAGGATGAAGAACTTGTTCGGATATCAGGGCGGGGGTGCTCTCTAAACGGATGTAGCAGGATTCTTGCTAAAACTAGGCTGGGCAGCCCACAGACAGGGTGGGAGACCAAGGTCAGGGGCTCAGAGGAGCCTGACTAAAGTTTGGTCAAAGAGAGTCTTTGCCGGTGGACTCTCAGATACTCATTCATAACCTGTTTCTTTTTATCTTATATACACTTTTTTTTTTTTTAAGATTTTAGTTATTTATTTGTCAGATAGAGCCAGAGAGCACAGGTGGAGGGAATGGCAGAGGCAGAGGGAGAGGGAGAAGCAGGCTTCCCGCTGAGCAGTAAGCCCGAAGCGGGGCTCAATCCCAGGCCCCTGGGATCATGACCTGAGCCGAAGGCAGACGCTTAACGACTGAGCCACCCAGGCGCCTCTTTTATATACACTTTTAATTTGCTTTATTTCCTTCATGTTTAGCAGAGCCAAAATACTAGATTTTAAATGGAAGCTAGCAAACCAGTAAAGGCTTTGGAACGCTTAAATCTGCAGGGGCATAGTGAGTAGCCTAAGAAGGGACATGTGACAGGAAGGAGACAACTGTAAATGCATGTCAGGTAGAATAGCATAGGAGGAGTAATGGGAGTAGCAGCATAACAGCAGAGAAGAGACGGTCCAATCCCATAAATACTTGGCTGTCCAAAAGTCAAGACTGTTCACCAGCAGAGCAACTGTTCACTGCCTTTCTTGTCATCTCATTTCTCCTCATTTGTATGGGAGCCCATCAGTTCAGGTGACGAGGATGTGGTATTTGTCACTTGTTTACCATTCCGTTTTATTTATTTATTTATTTTTTAAAGATTTTATTTATTTATTTGACAGAGAGAGACACAGCGAGAGAGGGAACACAAGCAGGGGGAGTGGGAGAGGGAGAAGCAGGCCTCCCGCGGAGCAGGGAGCCCGATGCGGGGCTCAATCCCAGGACCCTGGGATCATGACCTGAGCCGAAGGCAGACGCTTAAGGACTGAGCCACCCAGGCGCCCCTTACCATTCCGTTTTATTGACCATCCTCTTAATCATCACCCTTACCACACAGAGTATCATTAGAGGGTTCTCCAGGGAGTCATTGTGGTTTCATCAGATGTTACTTGAGAGCATAGAGCTTCTGTGAGGCCAGGCCAGGGCACCATTTGCAGTACGTGGAGCATGCAGAAAACTGATGTGTGGCCATGTTTCATTAGCTCTGTTCTTCCAAGAACCCCCAGAGCAGCCATCCTCAGGTAGCTGAGCTTTCCATCATACTTGCACGGGTAGTCAGGACCATTAGGGAGAAACTACAGACTCAGACGTTGATTGCTGTTGAAGGCATTCAATTTAATTTTAAAATACCCTTTTCTTATGAAGAAAAATACATGTGTATCCTAGAAAAGGTAGAAAACAGCAGGAACACCATTTCTCATGTATCAGATGGGTAACATTGAACAAGGGACTATGGCTCTGTTGCACACCATTCTTGATAGCTGCATATGGGATGCGTGTATCATAATCTGCTTAAGCCCATTTTCCAGTATTTTATTTTTCCATTCTTTTGCACCTATGTAAACAGTCTGCAACGAATATCTTGTAGCAAAATTTTTGTTAAGTTTGCCCAATGCTTCCTAAAGACAGATTTCCCTGCTTTCTAAGGACAGATTTCTGCAAGGGAATTCCTGGGTCAGAGACTTGGCACGTATTGAAGGCTTGATTTTGGCTTAATGCAGGTTGAGGGTGCCTTAGCTCCCTTCCTACCAGTTCATTCAGCATAGAGTGTGTGAGGTTGGGTCATCACTTGGAGACAAGGGACACCCATGTTTGAAGTGGTGTCATACTTTGTTACTGTTCAGGCCAAGGTGACAGAAGAGTTAGCAGCCGCCACCGCTCAAGTCTCTCGTCTGCAGCTGAAAGTGACTGCTCACCAAAAGAAAGAAACAGAGCTGCAGATGGAGCTGACAGGAAGCTTGAAGGAGACAGACCTCCTTAGGGGCCAGCTCGCCAAACTGCAGGCAGAGTTCTCAGGTACGTCCTTGGAGGGGCTGGGACCTTCACCATTTAAACCTAAGGAATTAAACTGAGAGGCACCTGGGTGACTCATTCAGTAGAGCATGTGACTCTTGATCTCAGGGTCATGAGTTCAAGCCCAGCGTTGAGGAGTAGAATTTACTTAAAAAAGACCAGGGTGTGGGCGCCTGGGTGGCTCAGTTGGTTAAGCGACTGCCTTCGGCTCAGGTCAAGATCCTGGAGTCCCTGGATCGAGTCCCACATCGGGCTCCCAGGGAGTCTGCTTCTCCCTCTGACCCTCCCCCCTCTCATGTGCTCTCTCTCATTCTCTCTCTCTCAAATAAATAAATAAAATCTTTAAAAAAAAAAAAAAGACCAGGGCGCCTGGGTGGCTCAGTCGGTTAAGCGTCTGCCTTCAGCTCAGGTCATGATCCTGGAGTCCTGGGATCAAGCTCCATGTCGGGCTGTGCTCACCAGGGCATCTGCTTCTCCCTCTCCCCTCCCCCGCCCCTCCCCCTTTCTCTCACACTTTCTGTCTCTCTCTCAAATAAATAAATAAAAACTAAAAAAAAAAAAAAATTAAACTCTGTCCTTCCTTCAAATCCATTTGGCTTGATGCTCTTGAAGTTTGTGAAGGACTGAGGCAAAAATGAAAGTAGACCGGTATAAACTTACACCACTGCTTGACATAAAGGACTACTAAAGAACTGACTGTTCATCTGAAGTTGATTAGTGACCACTTTCCCACTTTGTTTGGCAAGTGTTGTCCTCAGTGTCTTTGGTACTTGTGTTTGGCTCATGGGCCTGGAAGAGTTTAATGTCTTCCTCTAACTCATGACTCAGTGGAAGTTTAAAAAAGAAGTACTTCCTGTAGCGGCCGGCTCCTTCCTAGAGGGTGGATTCCAACCCTTCAGCCTGGCACTCGAGGCCCCTCCAGCTTGGCTTACTTCCTCTTCTGTTGCTCAGTTCATCTTGGCTCTGGACATACTAGCCAGCCTGCTGCAGCTTCAGCCCATCCTGTGGTTCTGGTCTTGCTTTTTATCCATGCTCTTCTCTGGACTTGGTGTGTCCTCTGTTACCAATATTTGCCTCCAATTCTCCAAAATCTCTTTCAGAAACTTTCCTGTTTTTTTTTCTAGAACATTTGATCTCCTTTAGAATCCTTTATCTCTGAGTACATTATTATGACCATTATCAGAGTTAACCTCAAATCAGCAGTATTTATAGGTCTGTATTCCCTTCTAGAATACAAGCCTCTGGAGGCCAAGGATGGTATCTTGCCCATCTTTTGCAAAGTCCTTTCTTCCAAGTTAGCATTAGTTCAGTACCTGGCATAAAGGTGCTGCTCAAGACACAGGGACTTGAATAGAAGAGTTGTGAAGACCAGCATGTTGATTCATGCACTTTGGTGTGTAGAAACAAATGTGGAAGACACAGATGGGACCAGGGGGCGGGGGGTAGCTGGGGCAGCAGCAGAATTGGGAAGAAGCAAAGTTCGCTTGCCTGAAAAGAGCTAAAAACACTGATGTAAGTCGGTAGAGTGACACCTTGAGGATAAACCCCTTCCCTTTTAGAGCATCACCTGGGTTCACCTGAGGGACAGTCTCAGATTTGAATGTTGTACAGGTATCTTTTCTGCTTTTATGGTGCCCTATGACAGTTACCTCAAAAGCACCATAAGGGTCTCAGAAGTTTTCTGTACAAACTTCATTTTAATGCGTTACATTTTTTTTTTTTTCAGATTTTATTTATTTATTTGACAGAGAGAGACACAGCGAGAGAGGGAACACAAGCAGGGGGAGTGGGAGAGGGAGAAGCAGGCTTCCCGCAGAGCAGGGAGCCCGATGCAGGGCTGTATCCCAGGACCCTGGGATCATGACCTGAGACGCTTAACGACTGAGCCACCCAGGCGCCCCAGTGTGTTACATTTTTAAGAAATATTCTGAGTAGCTTTATTTGAGCCTTTTTTTTTTTTTTTTTTTTTTTTTGGTGTTTTAAAAGGAAACTCTTGGTAGAATGTCCCAGCTACCAAGAAGGATGGGAGTATTTTACCAAGGCGGTGAGACAGGGCCTGGACTAACGCTAAATAAAGATCTGTTCAGTATGTTGAGGCAGTGGCTGAAATGGGATTGTGGCAGCGATACATTTTGAAAGTGGCTTTGGACGGCTTGAAACGTTTCTTTTTCATTTTGTGTGTGGAGAAGGGGACACACACATACAGACACGAACATGGGTTGGTAGGGGAGTTGGTTCATGACCTCATCTGCCTTTCTCTGGTCAGGGAGGTGGTACTGAAGGGAGTGAGGGGAAGGCGTGCACGTGGTCGAGTCGGGAGACCGCTCGGTGCAGCTTGGGAGGAGCGGCCGGGATGCCAGGTGCCCCTGCAGCTTTGGTTCTGCAGCCAGTCTCTCTGTGGTTCTATCCCAGAACTCCAGGAAACCTCGGAGCAAGCTCAGTCCAAATTCAAAAGTGAAAAGCAAAGCCGGAGACAACTAGAGCTCAAGGTGGTGTCCCTGGAGGACGAGCTGGCTGATCTTCGAGATGAGAAGGAATCTCTGGAAAAGGTAAATTCTACACCCAGAATTTCTCTGTTGGACCCAAGTGGCCAGGATTAGCTGTTGAATAAAGCTGTTGCTTTCCTTTTAAAAATTACAGTAGCATGTGCTCATTGTAACAAATACAAATAATACAGAAAAGTATGAAATAAAAAAATTTATCTTTTTTCCTCTCTAATCTCAAGCATTAGAGATAACGACTATAAACAATGTATGAGTATCCATGCAATTTGTTCTTTGCATGTATAAAACATATGTACACACATACTTGTGCATACATGTATGTATACTGATCGTTTTTAAACTATGATAGGATAGTGTTTAATGCTTTTTTTTTTTTTTCCCCCTCATGGACATTGTACTAATAACGAGAACTTTCTGGGATGCCTGCTGGCTCAGTTGGTAAAGCATGTGACTCTTGATCTCGGGGTTGTGAGTTCAAGCCCCATGCTGGGTGTAGAGATTGCTTAAAACTAAAATCTTAAAAAAAAAAAAAAAAAGAAAACTCTCATTCCTTTTAACTACAGCATAGTAGTCTAGTGTATTGTGAGGTTATACCATAACTTACTTAACTATTTACCTACTGATGGGTATTTATGTTTCTGTTTTTTCACAATTTCAAGCATTGCTGCTGTGGACATCCTTGTACTATACAACTATTTTTTGCAAATTCATTTGAGCATTTCCATAAAATGAATTGCATGAATTAGAATTGCTAGATCACTTTTTAATGTCCTTTGTCCTCTTTCTTTTTTTTTTTTCTTTGTCCTCTTTCTTATTATAATATTAGTTTGATTTATAAACATTACTGAGGGTATTAATCCTTTGTCACTCATAGATGTTACAAATATCACTTAGTATTTATATCTTTTGTCGTGTTAAAATTTTAAGGTCAGCCTAAACTAGCCCCATTGAACAAAGTGGGAATATTTCTGTCTTTCTATTCTGGAACAGTTTAAATATGAAAAGAGCAAACTTTCTGATATTTCTTTTTTTTTTTTTTTCCAAAAATATATTTTTAAAAACAAAAATCAGACAAGTTTTATAGAGTCAAATTTTCCAGAGACAAACTAGAGTTTAGATTTCCACTTAGAGCAAAAGTTAAGCATCAGTAATCTCATGCAGAAGTGTTTCTCAGCAGGAGGTAAAACATTCTGCTTGACTGCATGCACTCAATTCTCTAAATCTTGTTTGTACTTCTGCCATCATTTTACTCCATTCCAGGGCTCTGGCATGCCAGACAATCTGCCTCTAAAATTCGAAACTTCCAAATTGAGATGAACGATTATTGGGCTTGGGTTGGGGTTTATAACCAATTCGATCATTAATCATTTGTTCCCGGCTCTTGGGGTCACCGCTCAGCCCAATGGCACCTTCTCCATCACTGATTCCTACGATGTCCACTTCTTCCTTTTGTTTCTTATGGGTCTCCAGGTCATTTCGAATGCTCTCAAACTCCTCAGTGTCATCAAGCTTCAGCTCCAGGCGGGTTGGTTTTCGCCACAGCATACTGAGATCAACACTGAGGGCCAGACCCAGTGAACTATCAGCAACTCACAGGGTTATCCTCAGGGTCTAAACAGGTCCTAAATGGATAGGTCATTCATTCATTAAACAAACACTTCTTATGCTCCCTCTCCAGAGTTAAAAGGCATAGCCACAGCCTCTTTTCAAGCCTGCTCAGCGTTTTCCCCCTTTCTGAGATTTCTGTAAAACTCTCTAGTAAAGCTTTGGTGGCCTAGTGCCTTTTTAGGGGATAAATCTGGGTCTACATTTTCAGTTTCTTCTATGACTTTATCAGGGTTTTTTTTAAACCTAATTCCTTCTGATTTGGGGGGACTGTTTTCAGTTTTTCATTGTGAGAGAAAGCACTACAGTGACCATCCATGTACCACAGTCTTTGTGAACATGATTTATTGCTTCCTTAAGATAAATGATAATTTGTGCAATTTCTGGATGTATTTTGAAAATCCTTTCACAGGACTGCTAAATTGCCATCCCAAGAGAGAACACTCATTTATTTTCCTACTAGCAGGTATGAAAGTGTCCACTTCCCTGTGCCCTTACCACTGTTAAGATGTTCCCTATCTCTTAATAGAATGGTAGATAAAGAACTTCTTGTTTTCCTTCTTCTTGTCACAATTTTTGTCACTCAGTAGCCAAGAATGTTAAATATAGAAGAAAAATTAAACATTGAATTGTTTCCAGGAAGACCCAGGTAAAAAACTACCACCACTGTCACCATCTTCTGCATTTATCCTCTGTGAAACAGCTAGAGCTGATGATGGTTTTCTTATTCCCAAGAACCTGTCTGAAAGGAAAAAGAAGTCCGCTCAAGAGCGCTGTCAGGCTGAGGAGGAGATCGATGAAATCCGCAAGTCCTACCAGGAGGAATTGGACAAGCTTCGGCAGCTCTTGAAAAAGGCTCGGGTGTCCACAGACCAAGCAGCTGCAGAGCAGGTAACAGGAAACTGAAGCACTTTGGAAATGTGCCTTCAGGCCCATTACCGTCCTTGAAGAGAAGGGATTTATTTAGGTAATCAGGCAGGGAGACCAGGGACAGTGACAGGACACACCTGGGTCTCTAGTGCATTTGACAGAGACCTTTTTCCTTATAAGTTCATAAATTCATATCTGCGTGTCTGACTGTTGAGTGAATTAGTGCCCTCAGTTTAGTCTCCTCTGGGGATTTTGACAAAACCGTTTGGCCTGAACCTGTGAAGTTTAGGGCCCAGACTCTGAAAAGATTACAATATGGCTCTATCCTCTAGCAACCTGTCTAGACAGTCACCTCTTTCTCTGGTTGGAGTAGCTTTTAGAATCCTGACCACCAATGACATCTGTGTACCTATATTTAAAAAGTACATTTACTTTCAAAGTAATCAAGGTCTTTCAAATAGTTGTGTCCCTATTAAATCTGGGCTGTTAGCTTATTCTTTTTGCCTTAGGAAAGATGGGCTTCCCTAGATGCGACTGTGCCCCCTGCCCCCATATGGGGATTGCCTTCTCTTGGCAGCTGTCTCTGGTACAGGCTGAGCTGCAGACCCACTGGGAAGCAAAGTGCGAGCAGCTGCTGGCCTCCGCCAGGGGTGAGCACCGGCAGCAGTACCAGGAAGTTTGTGCGCAGAGAGATGCCAACCAGCAGAAGCTGCTCCACCTTCAGGAAAAGGTAGGCGTTTCCCCGGGGCCGACAGCTTAGGCGGCCCAGTTAATTTGAGGCAAACAGGTTGGGTCTTGTAAATCCTTCTGAACCTAAAAGGTGTTAATAGCTTGAAAGCCAAACCACGCTTGTTCAACTCTCCAGTTTACCGGTAATCTTTCACATACTGATTTTGGGAAGACAGGTCTGTGACCTAGAAAAAGAAAAAGCAACATGTTTAATTCCATTATTTGATCATTTATGAAGCAAATATTTATTGAGTGCCAGTGATAGTCCAGATACTGTGTTAGGGAAAGGACTTACAAAGAACTCTGCCCTTAAGCATCTCACAGTCCAGAAAGGGAGCAGGAGAGAAACAAAGATAAGCATGAAGTGCTGTGAGACCTGGAAGAGGAAGTGCCTGAGGGAGCAGAGCCAAGAAGGACCAGTAGTGTTGATGAGGTGAAGTGAGGTGCCCAAGGCGGCAGAATGCCCCGGGCAGAGGCATGGATGTGGGGTGGGGCCTGCATCTGGTGGGTCACTGGCATGAAAGTGACAGAGATGGAAGATGGTTTAGGGTTATGGTATGACAGCCCCTGCCCCCATCTGGAGGTGACTTTCTTTCCTTACAGTATCTAGTTAAAAATCTTTGACTCAGAGATGATGAAGGCAGTCTTATAGGTGAATAGGCTGCTTCTAATGGCCGGTTTTCATATGTCTGTGTCACTGGACTTATATCCCCCCTTTTTTCATCATGCTCTTGAACCTGATAAGGAATAAGGCAAGTGACGTGGTGGGGAAGAGGAGGTGAAGTTGTGAGTTGAGACTGAGGGATGAGGAAAAAGAATGCCCTGAGTTGGCAGGCCTGGGGTGGGTGGGGGCGTATGGACACCGGCGGACCTACCTGAGGTTAACACTGGATGCTTAGGATGGTTCTTGTCCTCCCAGTGACCTGACTTTCACCTGGCAGTCCAGGCTCCCGTGGCCACAGCCACAGTCTGTTGTTTTGCAGTGTCTAGCCCTCCAGGCCCAAGTCACGGCCCTGACAGAGCAAAATGAACAGCACGCCAAGGACCTGGAGACCAAGCCCCACGTGTCTGGAGTTGCAGCTGCTGCCGCTGACCCCTCAGAGAAGGTGAGTGGGCATTTCGAAGACACATCCCAGGTCATATCAAGGGATTGAATGTGTCTATCAGGCCTTCAGGAAGAATGGGACCAATTTTGTGTTGGCAGCTTTTCTTCTGACTTTAGTGATACACCACTTGTCTGGCTTCAGTAAAAATGAACTCTTTGGAGCCTATCACGTTGGTGAGAAACCCCAGAGGGCCCTGTCCTGGGGTTTTGACAGATAAGGGAAATGTCTCTAAATTGGCGCAGTGAGGAGCCTGCCTAGCATCTGCTAGCGCCAGTCCTCGTAGCCCGCGGCGGCTCGCATGGTGGCCTCAGCACGAGGAGGCATTGATCAACACGGGCCGCAGCTTGCCAGTCCTTGATAACCCTTCCACCGAATGCTATTCCTTATTTAACATCGCCCTCTCCACAGTGACAGCCTTTGGTGTCTCAGTTCAGGACCAGCTGTGGCGCGTACTACGGTACCCAGAGGGCTTCCTTTCAGCCCTCCCAACCCCTCTCTGGCATTTACCTGCATCACTTAAATCACTTGATGTTGGCAACATAGATTTTGTTTTGCTCTCCTTGCCTCTTCACGCAGGTCAAGAAGATCATGAACCAGGTGTTCCAGTCGTTGCGGGGAGAGTTTGAGCTGGAGGAATCTTACGGCGGCAGGGCCGTTCTGGGGACCATCATGAACACCATCAAGGTAGGGCCGGCCGGTGACTTTTGCCCCGAAGTGGGAATCTTGTGGCTTAAGGGCCCTTTGAGGGATCATAAATCTAAAAGGAATTCAAGACTGTTCCTCAAGAATCAGGAAAAGTGGCATGACTTTTATCTGGAGAGATGAGGGCAGCCTCCAGCTAGAGGAAGAAGCAGGCATTCGACCTACACGAGCCGCTGTGCTGTCAGGGAGCGAAGAAGTAGGAGTGTCTGCTGTTTTCCTGTCAGTGAGCATCTCCTCCTCCTTGGCTTTTGAACAGATGGTGACTCTTCAGCTGTTAAACCAGCCCGAGCAAGACAAGGGACAGAGCAGCAATGAAGAAGAGGAGGAGGAGGAGGAAGAGCAGCCCCAGAGACCTTCCCGGGAGCTCTTGGTCTCGGCCGGTTCTGGGCCGCCCCCAGCAGCCCTGAGTAGGGAGTCGCAGGAGTACCCCCTGGTGTCATCGGAGCAGGCAGTCCAGGAGGCTATCCCCCTGCCTCCTCAGGCCCTCTCTGCTCCCCAGGATGAGGTACAGGGAAGGGAAGGGGAGCCCGCAGAAGCAGAGGTGTTCTCAGAGATAAAAGGTGATTCCCTCCCACCCGAACTGGCTTGTATTCCCTCCCGGAGACCTCTGGGGCCCCCAACTTCAATTCCCCCTCAGCCTCCGGGCCCTGTGCTTGTGGACTCTGAGTGCGAGGAGACACTTGCTGCCAGCCCATTGGAGAATGCCTACGTCGGGGAGCCAGAAAGCTCCACGAGACTATCCCCGACTTCACATTCCATGAAAGAGGACCCACTAGCCTTGGGTCCTGAAAGTCTAGGAGAAGAGCCTCAGCCTCCAGAGCTCAAGAAAGATGAGAATGTCCCTAACTCCACTGTTCCCTTTAAGGAGCTAGAAAACACAGAGGCAGGTTCATTAACTGTCGGAGCAGCAAGTGGGTCCGGCCACTCTTCTCAGCATGCCAGGTAGGTCTTCCTGAGCAGTTTCCAGGACAAGGCAGCTGTATGCGGAGGTTGTGGCTGGTGTTTCCAAGGCTGGTAACTCGTCCTCAGAGAAGGACTGTCTGATTCACTTACTCATTCATGTATTTGTTCAATAATGCCTACTATGTAAGAGACTCTGTGGTCAGCACTGCAATAGGGTGGTAGGCAAGGCAGATTTGGTTCTTGAGTTAAGGAGCTTGCAGTCTAGTGGGGAAGACAAACAAATACTTATGTATTATAAAAGTATGCTTTAAAAAAGTGCTTAAAAAAAGAAATTCTCTATTCATATAATAGAGAATAGAGGAGGAGTTACTCTACTTTGAGATAGAGTGGTTAGGGAAGGATTCTGAGAAGGTAATGTTTAAACTGGGACCTAAAGGATGGAAAGGAGCCTTCAATGCCAAGATTGGGAGGAAGAGATTGTAGAAAGCAGGCACAGCACATGCAAAGGTGGTAGGAGGGGACATGACAGTCAAGGAACTAAGGAGGGCACAGTAAGTAGGAGAATGGTGTTAATCTGAGATTGGAGAATGAAGTAGGGACAAGGCACGTGAGATTTTGTGTCACTCTTAGAAGTTTGGATTTTAGGTACCGTGAAAAGCTGTTAAAGGGATTTAAGCAAAAAGTGACATGGCCTGATGTATTAGTTTATGAAGATCACTCTGGCTGTAGGTCATGGAGGGAGTCAAGAACGCTAGGAGGCCAGTGTAGAGGTGGGAGGAATCCCTGGGCAATTACCACAGCTGTTGGATTCTTTCTCCAGAGCTTGTGGGCCCTGTGGCCTAGAACAGGAACAGAAATAACACCATTTTCTTTCTTTTTTTTTTTTTTTTAAAGATTTTATTGATTTATTTGAGAGAGAGAATGAGATAGAGCATGAGAAGGGGGAGGGTCAGAGGGAGAAGCAGACTCCCCGCTGAGCAGGGAGCCCGATGCGGGACTCGATCCCAGGACTCCAGGATCATGACCTGAGCCGAAGGCAGTTGCTTAACCAACTGAGCCACCCAGGCGCCCTCTTTTTTTTTTTTTTTTTAAGATTTTATTTATTTATTTGACAGAGAGAACACAAGTAGGCAGAGAGGGAGAAGCAGGCTCCCCGCTGAGCAAGGAGCCCGATGTGGGGCTCGATCCCAGGACCCTGGGATCATGACCTGAGCTGAAGGCAGACCCTTAACCGACTGAGCCACCCAGGCACCCCAGTAACACCATTTTCTATGACTTGATTTTCTTGATTTTTCCTTCAGTCTCCCAGGGGATGAAGAAGATGAACTATTTAAAGGGGCAACTCTGAAAGTTTCAAGGCCCAAAGCACAGCCTGAGGAGGAGGATGAAGATGAGGTGGTAAGGAAATCCCAGGCACTGCCCAGTCCTCACACCACCACCCGGGGGCCCTTCCCCGCTGGCTCTGAGAAGAGGAGTGGAGTCTGTGGGTGGCCCATGCCCTGGGCTCTGTGTGCAGCGCCCTGTGGGAGCAGGCGTGGGGCTGGGAGGGGCCAGCTCTGTAAGCACAGTGGGGATGGGTAGATACCACGTTATTCCTGGAAAAGGATCACGATCTGTGTCCATGCAGGAATGATTTCTACTTTCAGTGAAGGAAGTTGGGCTGCTTAGTCCTGCATTAGAATGCTAAGGCCTCAGGTTCCCCCAGATCTGGTCAGAGATTGTCTATTTTACAATCAGAAGGGACTTTGAATTTTTTGTCTTGTGTCCTTATTCATAGACAAACTGAGGCTCAGAAAGGTGATTTACCTACAGCCACAGAGCTAGGACTGAAACCCCAAGCTCCTTCTAAGACCACCTGTTTCTGGGCCTTTCCGCATCCTCAGCCTGCTTTCCAAGCTGCTACCTTGTTTTGTCCTCACAACACCCCAGGCAGAAAATGGGTTAAGTACCGATAGCATGACCTCGCTCTACAAAGCTCCAAAGTGACGGCCGGAGGGTGGCTTGCTCACACAGCCTGGATCAGAGCCCCGATTCTCGCATCTGTTGTCCCCATGTGCGGAGTTAGGCTGTCCCTAGGACATTTGACTGCTCTGACGGGAATGTCACCAGAGTGAAACATGGGTGGAGAACACAGATCAGGTTCAAGCTCAGCCTATCCCAAGGACAGAAATGTGAGGTGATTGAGGGCACATTTTTCTCCCCTCATGTGTCAGCCAGAGTGGGTTTTGCCTTTTGCCAAAACCTTGGGGAAATGGCTGTGGCCGAGCGAGAAGCCGGCTTTGCGTGTACCGACGCCCTCGCCTCCTGCCTGCGCTGCTCTGCGGGGAGGGCACCATCTCCTCCTGTTGGCCTTTCTTCCCAAGAAGTAAGTTTTCATTCAGGAGTTCTGAATATGAATTCTGCACTTAGAAATAAAAACAAAAAGCCAATTGAGTATCCCAAGTGGCTGCCCTAAATATAGTTGGAATGTTTAGTTAGCAGGATATTATTGGTACTAATATAAATACTACCAAGTTAATTTATGTTTCTGGGATACTTTGAAAACTTCACAGACATTCTCATTTAATACTCTACTAACCCAGTGAGGATTTTATCCTATTTTATAGAAAAGAGGACTGAGGCTCAGCAAGATTAAGTAATATGCTCAAGGTTATAATGCTAGTGAATGCAGAGCCAGAACTTTAGTTGGAATAAAACAGAAGCAGTGAGCCACCTTTTAATTCACTACTGTCAGAGTTTAAAGATCATTTAGTTGAGGCCCAGAGAGAGGTACAAGGTCCGTACCAGGGACCCCTGACCGCATCATGCTGCCTTCTGTTTGGCCAGACCCTGGGCCAGAGTAGCTCAGAGCAGGGGAAACTCCATGTGTGCCTTTCTCCAGTATCCATCCCTGCCACCGCCGTGGGACCTGTTCCCAGCAATCTAGAAGAAAAAGGCCAGGAGCTCAAGTCATGAAAAGTGGGGGAGGGTTTCCTCCGTGGCCTGTTAATCTCCCTTTTCCTGCTACCTGGGTGGAGGGAGCGAGGGAAGGGCCAGTGACCTCAGGGGTGTTGGGGGCTGTGGCCCTGTGCTCCTGGGCTTTCATCATCTTTTGGATTTGCCACTGGGTAATGTGGCCAAGCCTCTGAACTCAACTCTCTCACATGCTCGGGGCACGTCCAGAACCAGACAGGCCACCATAGGCCACAACGTTTCTTCAGATGGAGCTGTATTCTTCCCAACCTCCCTTCATCTTCTTGCATCTTCTCTCTCCCCTCAGGGCTGCTCTGCTTCTCTCTTTCTTCCTCCCACTCGCATCTCTCCCCCATCGACCCTTCTTTTCCCACACGAAATGTGTAAGTCACTGCATGAGAAGAAACCTGTCAAATCAATACATGTGTTTCACAAATAAATGACAAAATTAGCCAATGTTGGTCTTCTTGTCTGTGTGTTGGAAGATTGCCTCCCTTCTCTGCCTGCTTGTTTCAGCTTTATCTGGAAGCCCAGCAAACTTACCTGGAAGCCCAGGTTTGCTGGCCGCAGGCTTAGTCCTTTCAGTAAAACCCTAACCAACACCCTCCTTCCCAACCTGGAGCCGGGGAACAGGTGTCGGTTCGCTATACCTCACATGGGCAGGAAGGCCGTCTGGTGCAGGGCCAGGTGAGGACTGACTGCTCTTTCCTGTTTTGTCAGAGCATGAAGGGACGGCCGCCCCCAACACCCCTTTTCGGAGATGATGACGATGACGATGACATTGACTGGCTGGGATGAAGACCCAGGAAACTGGTGCGAAGGTTTCTCTACCGACCCTTCCCTAAGCATGATTTTGCACAGCCAGCCCTGTGTCTAGACAAGCCGCAGGGTGAGGTGAAGGTGAGCATTCTGAGGACAGCAGTGCACATACCTGAGTTAGCCAACTTCTGAGCGCCCTGCCCGGCTGGTCCGAGAGCAGTGTGAGCCTGTCTTCACAACGTTGGGATCCTGCTTCAGAGTCCCCTTGGGAGGAAGGGCTGGTGGATTGCCTGCAGCCAGTCACCTACAAGAATCCTGCCCTCTTCCAAGCTTTTTAGTCTCTTCACTAACTCAGACTGATCTGCCTGCCGATGTTCAACTGCACCAGCAACGGGATCTGTCATCTCGGGGAAGCAGGTCTGCCCGGAACCTAGGGGGGACTACACTATCCAAACCCTGGTTCAGTTAACAGCCTTGCCTGCAGTCCTGGGACATGTATCTTTTCTCTGCCTTAAATCTGATACAAGAGGTCAATGAATATTTGAAATTAACAAAACTAAAATAAATGTCTGCAATGAAACCTGCCTCAAGCTCTTGGGGAGAAATGGAATTTGGCTCTAAGGCTGGCTGTGCTCTTCTCTGGGACTCTCAGGGTAGGAGTTGGAACAGACTGGGGTTGGTTCACATGCACGAAAGCCCTGTGACATACTCCCTTTGCACCTAACCCTGGAACTCAGGCTTTCAGGAAAGTCACCACTCTGCTGTCCCAGCTCATCCTAGACGCATGAAGGCTTGGGGCACTGGTTTATCTGAGAACTGGTCATATCATCCGCTCGCTCTGGCACACTTGGTCCTACACCCTAGGAAGCCCTGCACAGAAGGTGGGAGGGTCCCTACCTTGCATTGTCGTGCATCGTGGCACCTGACTGATTCTTCACTTCGAGAGCAGCTTCCATTCCCTCTGGACTCGGGGCCAGGACGAATGCAGAGAAGAGTAGTGAGAAAATATCTGTGGTCATTTTCCTTATTTCAGGATTTTCCAAAGACCATGCAACCAGTCTTGAAAAAGAATAATTTTAATAAAAATGTTCCCTGGTTTAAAATGTTCGTAAGAGAGGGTCCTGAATTCCGATGACCTGACCCCATCCTTTGTGAAGACAGATCCTTTGTGAGCCTGTGTGCCGTAAATGGGGCTGGGAGGCAGTAAGAACCACTGTTTACTCAACTTTGTTGTTGAGCGCGTTACACAGACTGTCTCATCTCCAGCAGCCCCTTGCATAAGACACTTAACCCATTTTATAGAGACCAAGGCTTAGAGAGTTAAATTAACTTGTCCAAGATTACACAGCCAGGAAGCAGGAGAACGAGAATTCAAATCCTGGCCAGCCTATTCTGGAGCCACCATGTGGCATCCATCACTGGGCTGGGGGAAGAGGGCCAGTGGTGCTTGTCAAAATCCAGGCTCCTGGGCCTCCGGCCAGATCTTCTGAAACAGAATCTCTGCCCTCTGCCCTGTTGGGGTAAAACACACGGCACGGGCTGTGCAGCCCCCACTGTCTCCGTTCACAGCCTCGTGCCACTGGGTGCCGTGTGGCCTCGGCCAGTTACCCTCTGAGCCTCATGCTCATCTGCGCTGATGAGCAGACTCAGGGCAGGCTGCCTGGTGCTGCAGCCCAGCTCTGCCACTCACAAGCTGGGTGACTAACTTCTCTGTGCCTCAGCTTCCTCTTGTCTAAAACAGGGACGAACAATTTGTACCTGGTTGTGAGGGTTAAATGAGTTAATATTCTGAGGGGCTTAGAACACTGCCTGGCACGTAAAAAGCACTAGATAGGTGTCTGTTAAATTTTAAAAAAAACTTCACGTAGAGAAAGTGCCACCTTTTGTGACTTGGCCGTGAAGAATGTTGAAATGCTTATCTAACCAGCTTCTCTAGAGCACACATTTTTTTTTATTCTTATGTTAATCCCCATACATTACATCATTAGTTCTAGATGAAGTGTTCCATGATTCATTGTTTGTGCATAACACCCATAGAGCACACATTTTTTTAAAAGCCCTCACCACACGTATTACCACCGTATCAAACCAAAGAGGTTGCCGATCACCCATGGAAGTGCTCATGTCAGCAGCGCCCCAGGGGAGGGAGCCTGAGCTGGTCACGATGGATAACTGGGTACGTGCGCCTCCATCAGCAAGACCGTGCTGGAGAAAGCTCACCCCCCTCGTGCCACGGAGCAGCCTTCCAATTTGCTGCTGAGGTGGGGAGGTTGCACCGGTCAGTCCTGAAGGGGTCACCTACTTGCAGTTACAGTTCTCACTGCAAATTAAAAAGTGGTTTTGATGTATTTTTGCTGCCACCCTCAGGGAGAGAAGGTGCCTTGCAGTCCACGTGGCAGCTAGTTGTTTTTCTCACAGCGGGCAGCACCCAGTCAGGACTCGGTGTGTGAGAACCTGAGAATGACTGTCAGCGAGGCTAGGCTGTGGGGTGTCTGCCTGAGGGCACAGCCTTTCAGGGCTGGCTACCCTGAGCACAGAGTCGTCTTCCTAGCAGATGGACAGACTCCGTCCTTGGACAGCCCTACGGCCAGCACTACCAGCTGCGTTCGCGCCCCCCTCAGCTCCTGCAGTGGCTACAAGGATGGCATGTGCCTGCTGTTTGAGCAGAAACACAAGAATGGTCACAGATTGTTTAAAAATAATATTTATTAAAACACCTATTTCTTTTTTAATTCCCAAAGCTTAAGACCGTCTTTCACCTAGCCCGCGAGGTACTTGAGCATAGACATTCCAGTATCCAGCCTCGATGTTCCCTCCCTGGGTCTTGTGTTTGCTTCTCTGTCAAGTGAACTATCTGGAGAGTCCCATCTAACTCTACGGGTAACGCTTTGGTTTGACTGCTTACTGCGTCCTCAGTCAACACTCCCCGTGCCTTACACCCAGTATTTTCAGTGAATGAACTGTGTCTCCCCACCAGATGAGATGGGTGAGCAGTGGGTAAGAACTAGAGAATACAAAATACTGGATATTCAGCAGTTCTCTGTTCTGCATAAAAGGAGGAGCAGGATAAAAGGGAGCAGTGGGGTCCTGAAAAGCTCCCCAGGCCCCTCTAGATTGCCTTCCTCTGCAGGCAGTGCTATCTGATGGGAGCAGCTCACCATCCAGAGGATAGGTCAAGGGCCTTGAGAACAGTCCCGCCTCTCAGCCCTGAATCTGCCATCACGCTCCACAAGAAAGAGAAACAGTTCCCAGCAGACGCAGCCATCCAGCAGGAATCCGATGAAGTCATTTTGCTAAAAATTCTGTATTCTTGTGCAAAATTGCGAACCAGGGGTCCAGTGGGAAAAAGGAAAAATCTTAGTTTGTCACCATGATCCACAGAACAGACCATCATTATGTGTCCCAAAGGCAGAAAGGTGAGAAAAAGGAGCCAGCTCGGTCTCCATCCCTCAAAGACAGAAGAGGTCGGGAAGTCCAATGGAAGGTGCTCCTCTCTATAAGGCACAAATCACGAGGGCAGAAGGTATGCAGCTTTCGTGCTCTTCGTCACCCAGAACCCATCTCCCTGTCTTGAAGATCTTTGGAAATTCTTAATTTTTAGTCACAGAGATAAGTCATCGTGGGCTCAGCAACCCTGCTCCCAGGTTCTGGTCTCTCCATTCTCCCTCAGGTCACAGGAGCTTTACTAAGGCACAAAAAGCTCATGTCCAGGCCCCGTGCAGGCTGGCTGAGGACAGAGGTAGCTGCAGGGGCCTCCGAACTCCGGGCAGCAAGTGCTGGCTTCAGCAGGACGTCTCCAGGAGCTGGGAGCGAGGGGAGCCGAACAGCCATCAGAAGAAACAGGAGACACGGGGCTGGAAGTTCAATGTCTGCAAGAGGGGGCCCCAGCTCTCTCCAGCCCCCAGTGCCTGCATAGCCCTCACTAGCTAAACCATGCTAAGAAGCGGGTAGGCTAGGTAGTAGCCCACAGCAGAGCCGAGAATCACGCCGAAGAAGATCCACGTGTTGTACGACATGACAGCCAGCATCATGAAGTAGCCTATGACCACCTGAATGACATGGATTAGAGACTGGCCAAAGTGACAGAAAAACCACCTAGATGAAAAGGAAAGTCAAGTTAATGGTGGTGGTAATGAGCTGGTGTCAGGAATTAGAGCAGCTGAGTTATAGGACCAGCTTATTTATAATTTGTGTGCTTGACCCAGAAGAGATTCCTTTCTAAAGAGATATATGAGAAACCACTGATAGGGGACAGGGCCTTGTATAAGGAGCCTTGGGCAATCATGTCTCTACTATATTCAGCTCTGAGCTTCCTGACATCCAAGGCAAAAAGGGAAAATGAGATATGTATTCTGTCATGTCTGATAAAGGATAATACCAAATCATCAGTAAGGCAGGTATGTTTTTCCTTCTGAATCTGCTGTGGGAGGCAGTATTACAATGGAAAGATCAGCTCCTAGCTCGGCCACTTTACTGTGGCTTAGCACAAATATCTTAACCTCTCTGAACTTAAATTTCCTCATCAGTAAAGGAGGAATAAGGATACCTCCCTTGCAGGCTGGGTGTGAACAGCAGAGACACCCGTGTAAGGAGCAGGCAGGCTCGGGAAGCACAGCTGGAGCTGGAGAGAGGGCAGATGTGGGACCCCACGCGGCTGCCTTACCAGACTGGGGTGGGAAGGAGGGAAGAGGGAGCTCCCCTGCCAAGATTGGTCCACTGCTGACAAGCAATCCTTACTATTTGTGTAGGCACAGCTGCAGATTCCATCCTGGGTTTGGAAGCCTTAGTGACCTAAGAAGAGCTGCTGAGATTTGGAGGAGGACTGGGTGGACACCTCTGTTGCTGGGCTGAGGCCTGCATCAGAGTTCTGAAGATCTGAGCCTCCCGAGTGGCTGTTTGTAGAGCTCTGGCCTAGGCACCAGGAGACCCGGGCTCTAGCTTAACCTCACTGCTTACTCACTGTAAGCACTTTGGCAAGTCCTGGTCCTTCCTTGGGCCCCAGTTTGCTTTCTGCAAAATGGGGCCAATGCCCTCTGGGCCCAGCCTCTCTCAGGGTGAATGTGAATACGTTGCCATTCCCCACACACTGTGCCTGTTACCTGAGGCGGATTCTGCTGACCGGGGGTGAGTCTGAGCTGGAAGAATCCTGGTCTGTCTCCTCAGTGAGCTGGCTGGTGGGGATGGACATGCCCACTGTGGCCTGGTAGAGCAGCTTGGCTTTGCCAACCTTGATGCTTTCATACAACACAGCCAGGAGCAGGACCACCAGCACTGAAAGGGCCATGCCTGCCAAACGAAGCTGAGCTGCAGAGACCTGGCCAAGCAAGCACTGATCCCCTTCTGGCAGCTTCCCTCAGGACCCGGGATAGGTGGCAGAGCGCCTCCACCCGGTCCCTCTGAATCCATTCCATCTCTCTCTTCTTCCCCACCCTCCTTGGGCTCAGAACTTCACTGTCTCTTTCCCCCTCCAGCTCTTTCTTGGGATGGATGGCCTATTTTGGGGTATGGCTTTGAGATCAGGAAGAGAAGCCAAGTCTGGAAAAGCCAGGGGCTGAGGCTGAAGAGGTCACACACCACTGCCCCCAGTGGCTCCCCCCGACCCAGGCGGCACAAGTGTCTGTCATGACTTCTCGTTAAGGGAAGAGCATGTACAGCAAGGTCCTGAGTAGGAGTATGTATAAGGAAAAGTCTGGGGGTACCGCAAAGGAGTCATAATTACCTCAGCAAACTAGGATATAAAAGATTTTTATTTTCTTCTCACCTAATTTTCCGAAGTTTCTACTGTGTATATGCTTTTATAATAGTGGAAAACACCACGAAGTTATTGTACAGAAAACATGACATGCTTACGAGAGCTGCTGTAAAATTAGCGGCTAATTGCTACTTGTGTTTTACAAGACGAGGAAG